GAAGCTCAACACCATGGATTTGATGGAGGCTGCTTAGCCCACAAAACCTTATGCTCTAAGCTTCTTTTTCCTCAGTCACTCTCAACGGTGTTACAATATCCCTTTGTATACCAATCCAGACTAACTTGACTATAACTTTGAAATGGGTCACTTCCTGTAATACTAACAATGGTTTGGAGTTTTTTTTGGGGGGGGGACTGCCCTAAATTAAGCATATTGATATTGTTAAGCATATTATCTTAACAATTTATTTGATAAGGAACACATGCTAAAGGATGTTGCCAAAATATCACATTCACAGCAATGGGTATGGTTATGAAATATATAGTCTTGCAGTTGACAAGCATAAATGAAATTTTTCTTCTATATAAGTAACTTCCAGATGCCGAAGCAACTCTGTGAGATACAGGTGCATGTATATATGCCAGCATTTCTCTATCCTAAATATATGCATTTACAAATGTATATATTGATATTCTCAGAATTACAAAAACCTCAAACACAGGGATCAATGAGGGTGAAAAGGGTGATATCACAAGGCACATGTTTGCAGCCCTTCTCTTCGATTCCTTTGATCTTCCTGAGGGAATCAGCAACAGACCATATTTGGAATCAAAGCTTAGAGAATAAGCACATCAGACCCTTCTGAAATGTATAAAACAATTGTGATCTCAGACTATCCATACCAAAATACCCAATATTATAACTTAAGCACCTGCACAAGATCTTTTACACATAATACATGCATACCTCATTGAAGAAAGCAGATGTGTTCCTTGGCATGCCTTCTAACAGAGAATGTGGTACAAGGGACAGAAATAACATGGAAAGAAAGGAGATATATTCATACAAAAAGAGCATTTCTAAACTGTAGGGTTCAGATTTATGGGATATATTCATGTTTTTGAGCATACTGGGGGAATTGGTGAAGTAGGCGAATCTGGTTACATATTCTCTCTCTCTCTCTCTCTTGTGCTGTTCATGTATGCTAAAGGTTCTGGAGGCAGCTGCTGTTTATCCTGACTGATGTAGTCAGGCACACAAGGTTACAATAGAGTTGGCTAGAGGCAAACCCCATTCTTTTCTAGTTCAATGATTACCTTTTCTGCACTTATGCTGCTATTATCCAGCATTCACCTTCACCATCTTCCCAATGCTGATATTAGTAAAATGGCACACAACTAGAGTGGGGATGAGGAAAGGGCAGCTAGGCACAGGGGAAAGCCTTTGCAAAAAAAAAGTAGGGGTTTTTTTTTGGTAAAAAGCTTTGTTAATCAAAGTATGCAATCCGTAGAAGTCTTTTTTTTTTTTACTTTTATATATAGGGAATATGTGAATAGAGGTGAAATCAGGCCATATTTATATTCGGCAAGGTTCAGCATAATCATTGCCAAATTGATCAGCAAGAACCAGGCTTTTAAAACTTTTCCACTCTGGACCCCTTTAGACCCAATACATTTTTATGTGACCTCGGGTATATAGGTATATTAAACTGGTAAAAAAGCAAATATTTACTCTTAGCAAATCAGAATTTACAAAGTTTACTAAAGAGACTGATTTTCCTTTTTATAAAGTACGGTTGAAGCATCTTCTGCAGAGTAAAGGAGACACATAGGAAAGCAGGTAAGGAGTATTTCTTTTTATGCCCCAGTAGATACAGGGGATAATGAGAACTGCAATCCAGGACACCTGGAAATTGCTAGGTTAGGGGATGCTGATCTAGACCTGAGTTTCTTAAACTTTTCAACTCACAACTGCCTTTGGCCCAAGAAATTTTGACATAACCTCAACTAGATACGGTAGGTATACAGATGTAAAAACTAAACATGCGCTGATAGCAAACCAGCATTTGCAATGCTTGCTAAACAGGCTGATTTCCCTTTTAATGAAGAACAATAGAAGCACAACAAATTTGTGTAAATGCTGAAAATAGTCATTATGTGCTGTTCAGAAACCATTTACTGTTGCCACATTTTGGGAATCTACCACATAGTAAAAATGTCTGCTTGTTTTAACAACCTGAGCTGATTCTGAAGGGTTTATATGACAAGATTAATATTGACAGATGGAGCCAGCAATACTGTGCTTTTCTTGCAAACATTCAGTCAACCACAGCTCCCTCCTCTCTTTTTCCTCCCAAAGGAGTTTTGGAAAAATCACTGATTGAGGGAGAAGTTTTTTTCCCTTCCTCCCAATTGTCAAAACCACATCTGAATACAGTGGGTCCTTGATATCTGCCGGGGATTGGTCCTACTCCCATGGATACCAAAATCTGTGGACCCCAAGTCCCATTGTATACAATGGCATAGTAAAATAGTGTCTCTTAGATGACATGTCAAAATCAAGGTTTTCTTTTGTTTATTTTAAAAAATGCATGTTTTCAAGCCATGAATGGTGGTATTGGGAATAATGGATCATGACCTGTTAGGATCACTGACGATCAGGGTATAGATCATGATCTGTTAAGATCACAATCTAATTGAAGTAGCAGAATTTATTTGATAAAGATGATCTCTGGGCACGTAGACATCTTGTTTCTGTTTGATGCCTTCAGCAAACAATGATGCAAGCAGACTTCTTTTAAAGATAACAAGATTATTTACTGATGACTTCATGTATGTAAAGATACAGGTACATTTCTTACCAAGAGTTAAAAACTTCAGTAACACTTCAGGGAGTTGTATCTTGAGCTTATAATCTTTTAACAGTTTCTTCATAAACTATGTTGCTTTATACAGCACTCTTTAGTAAGAGTTTACTTTCAAATAAAACACAAGCCTCAATAGTTTCTAAGTTCCTAACATTAGCTTCTGCACTCTAACAGACTCAAGCTCCAACTAATGGTCTAACAGACTCAAGGCTAAACCGACATTCCCTGTCACCCTGTTCTAAAACTGAACATTCTATACTGTCACTGAGTCAGTCACATGACCTGCAGCCCCTCCCACTGCTTTAGGTATATAGAGATGAGGTAACTGCAAATTAAATAAGACATATACTTCAGGTTATAAAACAACACATTATAAAACAGATAAACGTTGATTGAGGGAGATTTTTTTCCCTTCCTCCCAATTGTCAAAAACACATCAGAATACAGTAGGCCCGTGGTATCTGCTGGGGATTGATCGTACCCCCATGGATACCACAATCTGTGGATCTGTCACAAATGTGGTTGGTGGGGACGAGGGAGAGGGTCTTTTCAGTGGTGGCCCCCTGGCTCTGGAACTCTCTCCCTAAGGAAATTAGATTAGCATCCATCCTGTTCATTTTCCATAAAGACCTAAAAACATGGTTGTTCCAATGCGCCTTTGGTTAATTGGTTCACTTAAAGTATTGGCCCTTCTAGCCATAACTTCATTCTCGACTCTTGCACTTTACTATTGTCTCTGGCCTGGAGTTGTACTGTATAAATCTGACTTGGCCCTTCCAGCCTTAATTTATCATCTGCCTCTCGCACTTTTGCCATCAGCCCTGTCTTGACAGTTGTATTACACGAGCCTTTTCCTCGCCCCTTAGCTCGGAAATGTCCATTATGCTCGGCTACTGGTTGTTGTATGATGAATTGTGTTCTTAACTATGTTTTTGATGGTGTACATGTATTTTATTGTGTTATATTTTAACTCTGTATGACTGAGCTTATTTCCAATGTAAGCCGCCCAAGTCCCTTCAGGGAGATGGTGGCAGCATACCAAAAATAAAGTTATATTAGTATTATTCTATCATATAGAGGAGGCTTGAGAAGGTTGCTTCCTCCAACAGGTGGGAGGAGATCCAATTATACTCCTTGCTTAAGAAAACTGAAACTCATGGGATCATCCTAAGTTGACCAGCCCCTTGAAGGCACATGCAAACATCATCTTGCCCTTTGGATTATGAGGTAATAGGAGGCAATTATCTCAAATAGGTCAGGTAAAGTTACAAAAGCTAACTCTGCACCTTCCAAACCTATTTCCAAATGGCTGGCGGGGACGAGAGATAGGGCCTTCTCGGTGGTGGCCCCTCGGCTGTGGAACGCCCTTCCCACAGATATTAGACTAGCTCCATCATTATTAGTATTCCGCAAAAAAGTGAAGACCTGGTTGTTCGAGCAGGCGTTCGAATAGTTAGTGCAATGAGTGTAATGAACATAGGAATGGAACAATGGATGACGGATCTGGATCATGTTTTCAGTGATGAGATGCCAATAAATGGCTATTGTTGTTAATTATATAGGATTGTTTAGGTGTTATGATGTTACTGTTTTTTACCGTGTACTGTATTTTTGCTGTTCTGTTGTAAACCGCTGTGAGTCGCCTAAGGGCTGAGAACAGCGGTATACAAATAAAGTAAATAAATAAATGTCAATAATGCAGCAGCCGAGTTGCCAGGAATTGATAGGCAGGCTAGGCAGGCGTTTAAAGAAGAGTTTTTAAGACTGAGTCACAGGGTGTCCTGTGGTGTTGTGTGTGCTTTAAATCTTTATAGTCTTTAGGTTTCCATTTGCATATTGATTTTACCGCTGCTCACCCTTTTGAGTCTCTTTCAGAGAGAAAAGGCGGTAGATAAATCACAGAATCCTAGAGTTGGAAGAGACCTCATGGGCCACCCAGTCCAACCCCCTGCCAAGAAGCAGGAAACATAACAATAGGTGTCACTCCTCCCCGGCCTCACTTTAAGACAGCTGGTCAAAGCACTGTTTACCGTGTCTTTAGCATTAAAGCAGGGACAAGAGCTCTCCGCGGCCTTCAACTGCCAAATAAACGCCAGGAAACTGAAGTATTTCATTCAGCACATACTAAAACCCCTCGACCAATCACATCTTTCTCCTGGCGTCACGTGACGGCTCACAGCTGGCACGAGAAAAGCGAACGCCGGCAAGAGAAACGATTGGTTCAGCGAAGGCCGGCCAAGCGCGCCTCCCGACTCCGCTCCCTGCACGTCACGTGACGCTTTTGAACCAATCCTGTCCAAGGCCTAAGATCTCTCTTTCACCCCCTCAGAGGCTTAGCAGCGCAACTCACCCGCCAGTTTAGCAGTTGGGAGAGCCCGCTTCCTGGAACCGCGTGCGCGCTGTCAATCAGAAGCTTCGCACTCCTGCCACGGCCGGGCGGTGCGCTGCCCTTTGGAACCAGGAAGTGGGCGGGGCCTGGGCGCCTCAATAGAAAGGCGGCTTCTCGCTTCGGGGGCGGGGCTTCCAGGCTGGTTGCCCCGCCCCTTTCCTGCCTTCTTTAATAGGAAGCCCAGCAGGCACTGGGAAGCGCAATTTCTCTTTCCCGCTCTTAAGAAAAGATTAACAAAAACACAAAGGTATAATTTTCTAAGACTGGGCTGCGCTGACTGTGCCAACAAGGCCTTCAAGGGCTTTACTAGTAAATAGCCCTCAAAAGCCACCTCCTCTTGGAGGCTAAGCAGGGTCAGCCCTGGTCACTACTTAGATGGGAAACTGTCAACGCACTTCAGGTGCCCTTGGCTATATAAAGATGCAAAAGGTTTGAACATGCAGTGCCATGGCACATGTGGTAGTAATGCAATGATAGCCCTTGAATACTGGGATTGTGCATCTCGCATTGGTTTGCACTCACATACTTTCAGCTCCCCTCATTCAGCAAGGACATCTTCAGCCTTGTCCTGCTAGCTTTTCAGACATTGAAATGCTGGTGAGTCTGCTACATGTTGTTACAATGTATTATTGCATCATCATTATGTAACTATGTGACTGGAAAGTTACATTGTTTTCCTGTTGTAGCATGTTGGCCTAAATTTAGGCTTTGTGTTATTAATCCCAGATTATTAGTTGGATTTAGGAATGAAGCTGTGTTTATACCCCCAAGGTCCAGTGATATTAATAATATAACTGACAATTAACGACTCTGCTGTTCATAATTTCACTCCATCCACAAATTGTGTAGAAATACAAGTGTCTAAATCAGTGGTTCCCAGCCTCTGGTCCATGGACCACCAGTGGTCCGCAAGAACAAAAATATGGCCACGGCCTCACCATTACTACACCATTGCCTCGAAACCATGTGGCAATGAGAGCGACCGGTCTCACAAAAACCCTCTTATAGTGCCAAGGCAACGGGGATGTCGAGAGGAGAGAGGCTGAATACCCACAAAAGATTACTACTATCACATCAGCTCTAGATTATTAAATATGGTTTTCTGTGGGCGAGCAGACGGCGGCTATTCAGGCCCGTAGCCAGGATTTCGATTGGGGGGGGGCTGAGTTTGGTTTGGGGGGGGGGGCTGAGTCTGAGTGAAAGAGGGTCTACCCTAGCAAACCTTTTGTATGTTACCCCAATACCCCCATGCATATGGGATATATTGAGTATGGTGATCAGATCATGATATGAATAAACATAACAGTTTAAATAATGCACCAGTAAGGCCTTTTCGCGAACCACCATGAGAAATTTTGGGGGGGGGGCTGAAGCCCCTCAACCCCCCCCCCCAGCTACATGCCTGCGACTATTGAATGGCATATGTTCTCTATCAGAAACTAGAGCTGATGTGGTCTATCCAATGCAATTTTCTGAATCAGCACCCCAAATAACCAAACCGAATCTAAAGCACTACTTCGCAGTTTGCTTTTAGTGGACTCACTGTTTTGCGGGTTTTTGAAAATATTAATAAATTATAAAATATAAAATATTTACGTCCAGTGGAGGCCAGGGATCCCAGAAGTGCGGCGGCCTGAGGTGTGGTGGGGAAGGCCTGCCTCCCTGGTCTGCTGCTGCCTGCATGGCTCTGGAGGCTCTGCCGGGGTCTGCAGAGGCCAGGGAGGCAGGCAGGTGCCCTTGGGATGGGCTGCAAGGTGGGTAAGGAAGCACAGGTAAGAAAATAATATATAAAATATATAAAATAATGTATAAATATTAAAATTAATATGGCATACCTACTTTGCGGATTTTCATTTATCCTGAGTGGTCCTGGAACAGAATCCCTGTCTTAAGAGAGGGAACACTGTATTCTGTATCAGAAACTAGAGCTGATGTGGTCTATCCAATGCAATTTTCTGAATCAGTACCACAAATAACCAAGCCAAATCTAAAGTTGACCAAAATCCCTTTTGGTACTAATGTTGGAGAGTGGTCTCTGGTCAAGTGGTCCCTGGTCAAAAAAAGGTTGGGAACCACTGGTCTAAAGCTTGTGCCGTGATAAAAATGTGTTACATCCATAAGGTACAAAGTACAGTAAGTTACACTCATTTACCATTTTCTATTCGTCAGCTTGTGACTACCTAGATTCCCTAGCTGGCATATCCAGTGGCCATTATGGATGAGGAATTTTCTGAGTTGTTGACAACAGACTCAGATTTTTATGCTCTGGATTTACACCCACATTAGCTTTGTAGGATTGCAGCATGTTTTATGTTTCATAACGTTCTTACAAGTGAGACTGGAACATTGGCAATGACGATTGGAACGGAACATGGATAACGAGATTTGGATTGTGATTCAATGATGAGACGTCGCGAATGATTTAGTGTAATTGTATTATTGATAGTGATGTTGTTTATTGTTGTTTGTGATATTGCTTATGTTGCAAATTGTACCTGTTTTTATATGTTGTACACCGCCGTGAGTCGCCCTAGGGCTGAGAACGGCGGTCTACAAGTGCAGTAAATAAATAAATAAATAAATTTTGTGTAAGGTATTATGCTCAACATTTTGGGTTCCAAAGGTTGGGTTTGGCAATGGTAGTGTGATAGACTAGGGCCACATATATGTACATTCATATACATGCATGCTTTACCCCACATGTATAAATATTTTCTCTTCTTCCTACACCACACTGGTCAGGCATGTAGCCGGGGGGGGGGGGGCTTGAGGGGCTTCACCCCCCCCCCCCCAAAATTCTCATGGTGGTTCGCGAAAAGGCCTTACTGGTGCATTATTTAAACTGTTATGTTTATTCATATCATGATCTGATCACCATACTCAATATATCCCATATGCATGGGGGTATTGGGGTAATGATACAAAAGGTTTGCTAGCTAGACCCTCTTTCACTCAGACTCAGCCCCCCCCAAAACTCAGCCCCCCCCCCCGAAAAAAATTCAGCCCTCCCCGAAACGAAATCCTGGCTACGGGCCTGACACTGGTAATTTGTTCATTCCCTTTCTGCTATTTTATTTGATTAATTTACTTGTCAAATATTGAAATCCTTTCCCTTCACATGCCTGTTTTTTATATTTGAAGAACCATGTACAGATGCTCCTGAACAAAAAAGCTTTCCAATATGGTTATTTATTTATCATGTCAGAAGCAAATTGAGGGTACAGTTATTAAAAAACCACAAACAAAGTTACAAACTTGGCATTATATTAAATGTCCTTTGACCAGAAGCTGGCCACTTGGAGTGACTCCGGTGTTACTGCGAGGAGATCCCCAACTGTGCATGTGGCAGGGCTCGGGCTGCATTGAAGTGAGTGGTCAGTGATTTGCTCTTCTCCACACTTGCATGTTGTGGACTCTATTTTGTAGTCCCATTTCTTAAGGTTGGCTCTGCATTTCGTAGTGCCAGAGTGTAGCCTGTTCAGTGCCTTCCAAGTCACCCAGTTTTCTGTGTGCCCAGGAGGGAGTTTCTCATCCAGTCTCAGCCACTGTTTGAGATCCCAGGTTTTAACCTGCCACTTTTGGACTCTCGCTTGCTGAGGTGTTCCTGCGAGTATCTCTGTAGATCTTATGAAGCTGTTTCTTATTTAAAGCACTGGGAGGATATGACAGAAGCCTCCCTGCAGGATCGTAACACATCCGGACGTCCCTTGGACAACATCTTTGTAGATGGCTGATTCTCTCACACCAGAAGAGACCAATATGGTTATTGGTCAGGGATTGTAATCTACCAATATCCAGTAATTAGCACTTGGATGAAAAAAAATTTCCACGCCCTATGTCATGGAGTCCCAGGTTGCAGATTAGTTTTACAGCAGGAGGAAGGTAGGATGGGAGGAGGTCCATAGAGTGGCTGTGGCGGTGACAAGCTGCAAGATGGATGGGAGGGTGTTGGCCACCCCAACTTCGCATATGCTTACCTCAGCTGTGGTTGTCAGACAGGTTTGGGAGGTGGCTGTACCAACATTGGCTACCCCTGGGGGTGGAGGTGCTCCCTTCATTTGTGGAAACAGAGGTGCGCTTGGAAGCACCGCCAGCCAGCAGCATAAGTTGGGCCTCTTCCCAGCCGGCTATGGGCATTCTTGTGGATCTTCTGCCTCCCTGAGTAAGAATTAGACTCGGGAGTCTCCCTTATACCAAAGATCTTTTTGGTCACTGTACCCCTTCAGCTTCTGGAGCAGGTGTGGGGAAAAATGTATCTGTTGCAATATAACTACAAATTCAATTTAAGAACAAACCTACATAACCTTTCTTGTTCATAACCAGTGACTGCCTATAATCAATTTTCTCTTTCCCAGGGACAGGAAATAGGGGAATAACAACTTGATTTTAAAAGTCTGCATGCAACATTTAATAATCTTAAAGTAATGTAGTATTGCCAATCTGTAAACACCATGTAAGTAAAAAAAACTAAACCAAACCTTGGCAAATGTTTTGGACTACAACTCCACAAACTCCCTAGCCAACATGGCCACCTGAGTGGGGATGATTTCCAAACAAGAAGCACAACTAGCATAGTTGCCTAGAAAAAAAATGTGCCCATTTCACTTATTCCATCTGTTACAGTAATGCTCTTTTTACAGGTAATTAAAAAAAAATCCAAAATAACAAAGCTACAAAGTTTTATTACAAATATGCCTTCTTCAAACTCTGCATTATAAAAGAAAGCAGAATTCTTTTATTTAAAAAAATTAACAGGGACAGCTCCTCTTACAATATTTGTTGCAAGCCAATATTTTCAAACTTATGTGCGCCTTTTTTATTACCCAAACATATAGAGTTCCATCTGGCCTGAACACATTACATGATAGACATATAAATGACATATTACCAAAACAGCTACTAATATTTCAGCATGTTGTAGACAATATTTTCTTGTACAAAATTCATGCTCATGTCTACTTTCAAAATGCATAATTTTATAACATATTCTAGCACTCTCCCCACTTGAGACATTTTAATAGTCTTCTATATAATAATCTTTTTGTTAAGTAGGAATGAGCCAGACTCTTCTGAAACATTAAAATAATAAGCATTTACTGAATTGCTTATTATTTATTTTATTTATTTATTTACTTTATTTGTATACCGCTGTTCTCAGCCCTTGGGCGATTCACAGCGGTTAACAACAAGATATTGTGTATCCCATCAATTCTACTCCACATATCCTGAGTGTGTTGGATGTTGCATTCCAATAGCATCACGTGGGGCACATGTATCCAGATTAAAGAAATGGCTGACACACATGAACCAATCTTCAAAGAAATGTACAATCTTCAAAGAAATAAATACATTATATAATAGTATTAAAAACAGGGGAAATTGAAGAATAAGACTTAAGGCGCAATCCTATACATTTTCAGAGAACTAAGTCCCACTTCTTTCAACGGTGAACTGCAAGATTACAATGGATGCCTTAGGGTTAAGAGAACCCAGGCTTCTAAAGGGCAAATCATTCTTATGGAGAAGAGCCCACAGCGGCACAACATCTGTCCCCGATGTTGTTTAACATCTACATGAAGCCGCTGGGAGAGATCATCCGGAGTTTTGGATTAAGATGTTATCTCTATGCAGATGATGTCCAAATCTGTCACTCCTTCTCACCTGTCACCAAGGAGGCTGTCCAGACCTTGAACCGGTGCTTGGCCACTGTGTCGGACTGGATGAGAGCTAACAAATTGAAACTGAATCCAGAGAAGACAGAGATCCTACTGGTCAGTCGTACGACCGAACAGGGCATAGGGTGACAGCCTGTGTTACACGAGGTCACACTCCCCCTGAAGACGCAGGTTCGCAGCTTGGGAGTGATCCTGGACTCATCGCTGAGCCTGGAAACCCCAGGTCTCGGCGGTGGCCGGGAGAGCTTATGCACAATTAAAACTTGTGCACCAGTTGCGCCCGTACCTTGGGAAGTCTGATCTGGCCACAGTGGTCCACGCTCTTGTTACATCCCGAATAGATTACTGCAACGCACTCTACGTGGGGTTGCCTTTGAAGACTGTTCGGAAACTTCAATTAGTTCAATGGGCAGCGGCTAGATTACTCACCGGAGCGTCATACAGGGAGCATACCACCCCCCGCTATGTCAGCTCCACTGGCTGCCGATCCAGTTCCGAGCACAATTCAAAGTGCTGGTTTTGACCTACAAAACCCTTTACGGCTCCGGCCCAGCGTACCTGTCCGAATGTATCTCCTTCTACGTCCCACCTCGGAGTTTAAGATCTGCTGAGGGGGCCCTGCTCTCGGCCCCACCTTTATCACAAGCAAGACTGGTGGGGACGAGGGACAGGGCCTTCTCGGTGGTGGCCCCTCGCCTGTGGAATGCACTCCGGGGGAGATTAGGACATCAACATCCCTCCTCTCTTTCAGAAGGAAGCTAAAAACCTGGATGTGGGACCAGGCCTTCGGGTAAGCTGGCAGATGGACAAATACAACCAATGACGACCAGAGTAGGAAAGGACAATGACGATGCGAGATGGTTTACGGATTTGAATTGGTGAACATTGACCACAAGATGATTTTATTGCTGCTAGTATACTGTTTGATTGTTTCAATTAGTTTTAACTGTTGACATTATATGGTAAATTTGTGTATTGTATATTGTATTGTATTTTGTGAATTGTTAGGCATCGAATTGTGCCTTTTGTAAGCCGCCCTGAGTCCCCCCTAGGGGGTTGAGAAGGGCAGGGTAGAAGCACCCCAAATAAATAAATAAATAAATAAATAAATCCTTGTGCCGGCAGGACTGCTGACCGAAAGATCAGTGTTTCGAATCTGGGAAGCAGGGTGAGCTCTGCCTGTCAACTCCACCTTCTCATGCAGGGACATGAGAGAATCCTCCCACAGGATGATAAAACATCCGAGCATCCCCTGGGCAACGTCTTTGCAGATGGCCAATTTTCTCACACCAGAAGTGACTTGCAGTTTCTCAAATCACTCCTGACACGAAAAAAAATCTTATAGACAAACATGTCCAATAAGGCTTTGTAAACCATCGTTTTGGTTTATTAGCCAGTAACTGTATACAATTCATAAATCTGGCAATTACTGCTGTCCTTGGAAACTGATTCAAAGTGCTAAACTGGGCAACAGTTTCATAATTAAAAAGTTAACACATTTCATGCAATGGCGAAGTACAAGTGATCTGTTATGTTCATTATTTTTTCTACTGGCAGCAGGCAACAGGGATGGATTTTTGAGCAAAAAGATGGCAGGAAGATAAATGGTCAAATGTCTTTATTTCTGTCCATCACCAGCTCAGGTTGCTGAGGGCATGTGTGTCCAGTTCTGCATGTTTTTCTTCTTTAAAAAGTAGGATGATCCACCTTGAGGTAGATGGAATTTAAATTGATCATAACTAAAAGTCTCTGTAATTTCAGCAGGTTCTCTAAATCACTGCTTCTTCAACTGTGGGTCCCAACACCAAATGGGTCCCCTTGGCTCAGTTGTGCAACCGTAAAAGTTACTTTTTCAGACATTTACACAAATCTGTTGTGCAGTATTTACTGTAGACTCTGCAGAAGATGCTTCAGCCTGTTTTGTTATCCGTAAACATTTAATTTCTTATACTTATTTTGTGTACCTATATATTTGGGGTCTCATAAAAATTCCTCAGGCCAAAGCAGGTCGCAAGAGGAAAAATAAATTCTTAATCTTTTGCACTTGCAAACTGTTTTGGCCTGCTCTGGAGGACGAAACCTGAATTCAGCCTTGAACATGGAGGACCAGTTGAGCAAGTGCAGGTACATCCACTGATGGCCAGAGGCAACTTGAAAATGATCACAAAAAGGATGCACAAGGATTATCCCTGAAAATTGCAAGTGATTATGTAATAAACAGCTGTAGCTCTCTCTTGAGTTGGAATGAGTAATTGGTCTCACCAGGGTTGTCACTTGAACCATGTGAATGTAAGCATCGGTCTGGAGGCTAGCCCTTCCTTTAGATGGCATGATGCCCCATTCTCAGGAGCACATGGCAGCTGTGTGATTTCTGTATCTTCTTCTCAAGGACACCCCTAATCTGCACATGGTAGCTAGGAGACTTATGGTCTGATCTGCCTAGTGGGAATTAAAAGCATTACCTGGCCATGTCATCTGTCTTCCCCCTTTATGTGCTTGCATATACTGTAGTCAGGCTGATCTGCAAATCAGACCACCAACAATATTCAAATGTGGAGCTTTTGAGTGTGTGTGTGTGTGTGTGTGTGTGTGTGTGTATATATATATATATATATATATATATATATATATATATATATAGGAATAACATCCCCAGAATACCGCATCCTTAGAATGGGAAGTCTTATTTTAACAAAATGATGTGTTAAGTGATATACGTTAGGGATGATAAACCTTTTTTTAAAGAAAAGAGAACTTTTTACAATCTCTGCAAAACAATTAATACAGTTTATACACTTTCCTCAGATTCATTCTTTCAAATGTACACCATCAGACTTTTATTTTAAAAAAGACACAGTACCTTGCATTACAACCACTGAAACTAAGTATTTGGCGAAATAATGCATTTAGGACAAAAATTAGTGAACTGCAATCCTTAAATATTGTTAGATTGCATCTCATCAGATCTAGCAAGCACAGGCAGTCATTTGGAGGGTGGCTGTACTTTGCCAATCCCTACATTTAAATAATCCTAGAACCAGTTGCACATCCTAAAAGTTGCACGTTTCAGCTGATGCATACTGTCTTAAGTGTCTGGATCTCTGCTGATGGCTAGACTTAATTCTCTTTAAAATAGAGATGAATATCAGATAAATGATTTTACAGCCTCCCTCAACTATTTGATAGAATGGCAAGGCTGAGAGATGCAGCAGTTATTATATGAACAATACTCTAAAAATGAAACAGATACCTTTCCATTCCCAGTTTCTGCTACAAACCTAAAATCCCACAACCTCTGCCTTCTACTATGACAAAACAATAATTAGGCAACATGGGATTTTGTGTCCAACATTAGAAAATTAAGGGATGAATTAAAAAAGTAAAGTAGTGTACTTTTTCCTGACCTGGTTTTATGGATTTTAGTGGAATTCTTTCCTTTCCTAAATGGTCTTTGGAAAACATGTTTATAGTAGTTATTTATATTATCAAGGTTTTTAAAAGGGCGATATAGATTTTTCAGTACAAATGCAAAGTCAAAACTGCAACCACACTTCTTTACAGGCTATTTCATTGCAGCATTTCCTCCACTCATCTGCATCTTTGAGATATTTCGTGTGAAGCATTTTTGAGCATCATACCTGGACTTTTGTTTCTTTGTGAATGTTAAGTTCACAAACCAATTACAATCTCATTGTCCTTTCCAGATGAGTTGAAAGAACCACTGACATGACCTATGGATCTGAGCTATTGATAACCCAATGAGTGTAGCTGCCAACAAAATATCAAATAAAAACCAGAGCAAACATATACATTGACTAAGAATGTAATAACCATTGCCCAGACCAAGTACTACAAGATGCTGGGCAGCCTTCCAAGCTTGCAAAGCATTTTACTTTAAAGTACACTGATGTCAAGACAGCCTTTTGCAACCCATTAAGCCACATGGCAACAGTTATAAGTTGACTTTCAACCTATAAAAAGCTTGAATTCAAAGTTTTCTCTTGATTTGGAAAATATGTGGATGTATTCCATTTTCGCCAGGTATATAAGCTGTGCATGGACAGCAGGCAGAACAAAATATTAGAAAGCATCCTCCAAGTTTTTGAAACAAAAACTGTCTCTACATGGATGTAGAAACCAATATTTGTTGCTCTAAGTGATGCTGTGATTACAGGGCACAACAATGCACTGGAATGTCCATTTATAAATGTACATGAAAGCAACATCCACACACAAAAAACCCTCCGACCATTCATTTCCATTCTTGTTGTACTGTCTCATGTTCGCACACGCCACACATCATCTTGAATATGCCTCGATCTTTATTTTTATTTAGTCTCATATTAGAGCAAGCTCTCTGGGTATCAGAATGGAAATACTCTACATATTGTAAAGCTGCTTCAGAAATGTAAAAAGAGGAGCACAAACCCTTTAATTCTCTGAATGTAAACTTATAAAGTAGGGTTATTATTATTTTTTTAAAAAAATCATTTACTTCTGACGCCAGGCTCCACGAAATATTTGAGCATCTGCTGCTGGTGCTATAATTAAGGGTATTTTTCCCCTGTTGTTTTTAAATGACAGTGTGACTGAATGCTTCTCCCGGGTGATTAGTAGCCATGTTACTAATAAATGGTATGCACTGTGCATTCAAAGCCTGAGAAGCAACCTCAGACATCGCCCCTTTTTTGCAGTTGGTCCAGCTTCCTTTTTAAAAGGCTATAGTTTTCCCTGGTCCCAGCTGCTGTGGGATCAAGCTTCAGAGAGACTTCATAGTGTTTCTTGGCTAAGTCAAGATTCCCCCAGCGATGGTACAGCACAGCTGAAACAGCAAAGAGAATCTTTTGTGAGCAACGTTGCCGAAGAATAGACAATCTTGCCAATTACTTAGAAAACATTAAAACATTTGGTTGGCCACCGGTGCGGTGGCAGCCTGCGCTGTTGCCAGCTGGAGGGGACACATTTGGGCCACGGAATGACAAGAGCGGATTGTGCGAGAGCCATAAATTGCTGTTTTTATCTGGAGGGCTCATGGCGGTTTGCAAGCACGGCACACAAAAGAGCCAATTTGCCACCACTGACACGCAGCTACCTCTGGGCTGCCGTGCACTGCCTTGGTTGGTCCGCCATACAATGCAGCGGTCTTTGCATTCTTGGGACCCCATTCGCAGGGCTCTATTCTCTTGTTGGCAATTTGTTTAGCAAGCAGGCAGAATAGAAATCTAGCCGGCCAAAGAATGCCTCCAAACAGTACTTTTTAAAGACAATGAACATGAAAAGAAGTACAAGCAATGTGTCTGTATTTTTTTTTAAAAAAGTTTGCACTAGGGGAGCTGTAAAATGTCTTACCCAAATTACCATGGTAACTGGCTGCACTTGGATTGGCTTTAATTGCCTTGTGGAACAAAGCTTCGGATTCCTGAATAATTCAAAAAAAGAGATCAACAGGACAAGCTATTTTTGTAGTGCATACAATGTCAAGTACAAGCAAACACTGCCAATTACCTCATGCTCTGTGGTCTATTAATGTGATTATGTCACCATATTTTTTCATGTGCATTCACACTTCTACTTTTCTTTAATGGATATACATACAATATAATTCACAGCCAGATCCAGCTGTTGTCTGGGAGTTGCTGTCAATTAAGGAGTAATTACTTCAGTGCCAGTAAGAACACAAAAACACTTGTGGACGGCATTATAAACCGGATGCTCATGCAAATCACCACTTAAAACCAGTATACTCACATTAATGTGACGTTAATTCTAATAAAATTCAATGGGATAAGCTAACTTTACTACACAGATAGATTGACATGCATCACTGGTAGCTCACAGTCAGTAATTTTTATGGAGCATATACTTTGTTTTAGAGCCAACACATTTTTCTTCAGAAAAAGTTAGATATTTGACAAAATATGTTCCATTGATATCTGTCTGTTGTTGTTTCTCACTCAATTTTCCATTTATTCTTGATGCATCAAACAAAATCTTAGCTGGACAAATTGATATCACTAGATATTTTAGTAACTAATTTTTGTATTTATTTCTGCAAAGCCTCTACACCTCTTCTATACAACATTATACAGAATATATTTAATTTTGTAATTTTGTAATTGCTGCTTTGAAAAGCGACATTAAATAGATAAAGTTAAGCAAAAGCAAATATTTATTTTTAAATAAATTCTATGCAGTTGACATAAGCACTGAAGTCATATTTAAACTTACTTGATGAGAAACTTCTTCTATAACTGTGATTGTGGCATAATATATTATACTATATACTATACTATAAAAGGTAAAGGTTTTCCCTGATATTAAGTCGAGTCAAATCCGACTCTGGAGGGTGGTGCTCATTTCCATTTCTAAGCTGAAGAGTCGGCATTGTCCATAGAAACCTCCAAGGTCATGGGGCCAGCATGACTGCATGGAGCTATACTTTAATATGTGGGTCTCTGTCGCCTTTTAAAATATCCTGAAATATTATTTTGCTTGACTTTCCACTCTGATAAGTGTATCCACACGTTGCATTAAATAGCCCAGTGTCTCTGTTCAGCCACAGAAAAATACAGAACGTTCTCTTCTAATTGTTCAACTATCAGGACAAATTCTGTTTAGGCCACACCTAATTTTTCATTCAAGACAAATGATACAAAGCCAATAACAGCATATATCACTACAATTAGAGCTGCAACGAGCCACTTTTCTCAATCTGCAATAAACACAAGTTCTTGTTTTGCCATAAAAGTACTGCCATGTTTAAAACATTCAAAATGGTAAGATTAAAGCAGATTTAAATCAGTACATTTCTACATCAGATGCTTAAGAACTACAAAGGATTTCTCCAAAAGGATCAGAAGGTAGTGTTAAATATATTGTGGCACCTTATCTTGTCTAAAATCTAATGGATTTTGAACTCAAAGGAGTTGGGTTGTCATTTCTCTACAATCTTGGATTTGTTGTAGCAGCATGCAACAAATGGAATAGCAAAATGTGTCCTGCAGCAATGCATCTTGTATAAATATGCACCAAAATAAGTCATTGTGTGGACTGCACAGGCTTTTCCCCTGTTGGACAGGAAAATGTGAAGGCTGTAAAGTCAAGTTTCAACATTCATAAGAACAAAAGAATTATGGATATGCAGGAACAAAGCACTAACAATTTTCTCTACTCTCCAAGGCTTATTTCAGCTTGTGTTTTTAAAGCAACAACTATGCTTTCAGCAGCAGGCTGTGCTATGGCTCAAAGATATCTGCCATTTAAAATAAAATGCCAGGAATACTTCTGGGACATTCAAGTCTTTGGATGTTTGTAAAGTACTTTGTTCAGTCCCAAGCCACAAAACCAGGCAATTCTGTAATAAACACAATCCTCAAATTGTTTTTAAATTTAATCTTCCCCTTTAGTTAGCTCCTCATCATTTTCTTTCTGATTAGATGCAGAAAACCCCGTCTCCTTCATTAAGACAGCCGTGGAACATGTACGGAGGAATTACTGCGTTAAAAAGCAACAACCCACACTTGTACAAAACAATGCCTCACCTTAAAGACCTACTGAAGTGATCCATTCTACCAGTCTAGACTATAATTATATAAGGATCTATAAGATGGAATATTTTTAAGATACTAAATAGAGACCCATTTCAAAGTTAATATTCCTCTATTACAGGATTGATGTATATCACTTGGGGTTAAAATTTGCATCTTAAGTTAGTTTAGCCCCACAACTTGTTTCAACCGTGAAAATTTCTATAGTTATCTTCAGTCTTTGTTATTTACACTACCTTTCTCTGTCTGTCATCAATTTATTCTGCTGAATATAGGATATCTACCCTAAAATGAATTGGTACGGTTAGGTAAAGGTATTCCCCTGACATTAAGTCCAGTTGTGTCTGACTCTGGGGGTTGATGTTCGTCTCCATTTCTAAGCTGAAGAGCCAGCATTGCCCATAGACATCTCCAAGGTCATGTGGCCGGCATGACTTCATGGAGTGCTGTTACCTTCCTGCCGGAGTGGTAGCCCCTCACAAAAGAAAACCCACCTATAAACTTGGCTGTTTGATAGAGCTTGAGAGAACTGGGCATGGTTAACTGGAAGGATCCCTTACCTGGAAATTAAGAATTGTAAGCTATTATGATAATCTGTTCTCACAATCACTTCTGTTTTCTCTTCCTGATATTAAAGAGGAGAAACTAGAAACAAAGTCTGGTGGTATTTCAGGAAACTGAAATCTGGCAGATCGGAAGAGAATATGCATGATCCAAATCACTAACATGAAAAATCTCCTACTTGGGGATATGGGAATGTGATTTAGTGCAAGAATATTGGAAAATGATTGAAGGAGAAACAAATAGAATATTAAATCTACAAATAATAATAGTTAATAGAAATGTTCCACATACAAGGATAACAGGAGTGAAGAATATACAAAAAGAAAAATTGGTTGACAAATTAACAGCACGTGCACAAGTTGTTTTAGTGAGGGGCTGGAAAGATAAAACAAAATGGACTCTGACGAACTGGTATAAGTATATAGTTAATATGTTAAATGTGGAAATAACAAATTGCAAATGGAACAATATAGAAAAAATTGAAAAGGTTACAATAATTAAGAGGATGTGGGAACCAGTTAGGAATTATTTAGAGAATGAGCTAAGATGTGGAGTGGAAAAATTATGATTGAGATTGATATTTCAAATGTAACTTCTATAGTTTGTTGTATAAATTGCATGTACAAGGAGGGGAGGGTGGGTATAAAACAATAAAATAACCATTTAAAAAAAAGAAAGAAAATCCCCTATTTGGCAATATAATATGCCAAATGTTATACATATAAAAGGAGAAGAACCACGGTGGTGCAATGGGTTAAAACCATGTGCCAGCTGAACTGTTGACCTGAAGGTTGGAGGTTCAAATCTAGGGAGCTGGATGAGCTCCTGTTTGTCAGCCCCAGCTTCCCATGCAGAGACACAAGAGAAACCTTCCACAGGATGGTAATACATCTGGGCATCCCCTGAACAATGTCCTTGCAGATGACTAATTCTCTCATACCAGAAGCGACTTGTAGCATATTCTCAAGTTGCTTCTGACACAATAAAAAAACCATATAAGGAATTCATATACTCTATGGACACCCCAAAACTGTAGATTTCTCAGCTGCATGAGACTAGGCTGACAATCCTTTTATTAGCATTCTGCTACACCATAAAAACCTTCTTGTATAGTGAAGATCTACTTATGTAGGCAAGCCTTTGTTTTATCAGATTCCTTTGGTATCTCTGTTTTTAATCTGCCACAATTATCTCCTTTTATAGTGTTGTTGTTGTTTTTGAATTTTTTGTTTGTATTGTTTATGACAATTATTAATTGCACTGAACTGTGTTAAGGCTGTAGAAAGAAGAAAAGTTTTTTTTTAAAAAAAAAAACCAAATATTGCAAAGCCGCTGTAATTTTTTTTAACAATAGTCAAAAACTTGAAAGGTATATTGAACTAGAAGTAATGGTGAAATGAATGTGTTACAAATATTTCATTTAAAATTTGTGACAAGAAATGTGTGTACCTTATATTTCTGTGATTTTCCCAATACATTTGCCAATGAAAACATGAGAGAGTGGTCATTAGGTATTAACTCCAAAGCCTCTCTTCCAACAGCTTCTGCTTGTGCCAAGTTACCTAGGAACAGAGAGAAAGAAATGAGCAAATACCAATATTTGACAAGATAAAAGTGCTGAATGTTTCCCATAAATATAATTATTAACCATGACATAAAAGGACAAAATATAAACCTTAGAAATTGCATAAACAATGCATCGATATATCAAGACAAGTAATTTGGGAAGATTTAAATTGTTACTCATAGAAACATTCTGTTACCTCAAGAAGTATTTGCATTATTGCAATTTGATCAATTGCATCATTTTTGTACTGTGATTACATGGCAGCATGCAATAAAGTATCTGAAAAAAATATTTCAATTTTCTGCAGTGGACCTAATCTGGAAATCAAACATCCAAAAGTATTTATTAGTATTCTGTATCTTCCACCCAGAAAAAAGGATGTCAGGTGGAGCTCTGGCAACAGAAAGCATTTATTGGGTGATTAATAAAACTAATTAGTCCTCTGTCCATGATTTTTTAAAAGAATGATGTCAAACAAATCAGGACATATTATGAGTAACTAACCACCTGGAAATCTGATTTCATCTTCAAAGCCCCTTATTTATTAAGGCTTGAGTATACATTTCTGCTTCAAAAAGCATCTGCTTTCACAGCAGTTGAACATCTAACCACGCAAAGACCATATTTCTCTGCCCTGAATATTCCCTTGCATTCTGTTTCACTCCATTGATCTCAATGGCAGGGTAAATACAATGGGAAAGAAAACCTCCAAGCATATATTGGCATAGCCACAGCAAAGTGGTAGTTCAGACTGCATAAAGCAATCAAGGTATCATTTCTTTCAGAATTCAGTTATGTTTTTGCAAATACTGATTGTTTTAAACATGACCTAAATTCTACAAGAATATCTGATAATATGCATTTTAATTAATCTCCAAATATGTTGACTTCCACATTTACAATTCTTTCTTCCCTGTATAGAACAGCAAACTATGAGCAAGCTTTCAAAAGTAATCTGTTACGTGGCAATACTACAACACGAAAGCTTTGCTGCTCCTGCAGAGCTCATCACAGGATTTCTAAGAGGGGTGCCATGCCGATGGAGCATTAGTCTTTCTTCTACAAAGCAGCACAGTGGGCACATATGTAAGATAAATCACTTACTTAAATAGGACTTCATAAGCACTGTACCTGTATTATCAAGCAGTATAATCATGTTGTTCCAAGCCAAACTGTGTTGAGGTTTCAGAACAGTGGCATTTCTCCAGGCGTTCAGTGCATCTATGTGGCGGTTGAGATCGGCATACTGAAAGCAGCAAGGGAAGATGTTCAGGTCAGTACAGTCCAGTCTTCACTCATCTACCTTTAAGTGTGGAAGACTCTTTTTGCACAGTAAGGGTGCTGATTTGTACAGCAGGGTTTCCCATAAATATACGGACCATAATTAAGATAATTAAGTTCTCCCGCTTATGTTTATTCGCTTATTATAGTTATTTCTCCTTTCTAGTGTACTGTCTGTTTTCTTTTACATTGCCATAGGAAGCACAGAGTGTGATTTTTGACAGAATATTTAAAAAAGCCATAACAACCTTTTGTTTCTATTATACCTCCCATTGGTAATTCTGTATCTCTAGTTCAATATAAACTGTATAAATGATCACCTCATATTTCAAAAAAAAAGTTGAGCAGATGAATCTTTAACACGTTTGCTCAGAAGCAAATCTCCACGAATTCAACAGGATATTTCCTAGTAAACATGTTGTGTATGCCACAGAAACATAATTAAATATCTGTTCCACAATCTCTTGGCTCATTAACCAAAAATATAAAGAAATATACATACCAAGCGGCCTAAATTATAGTAACAATCCGGGTATTTTTTTCTGTGCCTAATTGCAGTCCAATAGCTTTGCTCTGCTTCTTCGTATCTTCTCAAACTATTCTGCACGATTCCTAGATTCATCCATGCTGCTGCAAAATCAGGTCTAGGAAGAAGGTTTAGATACATTTTAGTATATAGAGCACTACATCCCTTTAATATTCTTTATTCATTTGTTAAATGATTTTTCCACATCCTTTGGCCAAAGTCAACTCCAAACCAAATCTTAAACTAGGAGTAAGATTATGGGAAGAAATAATTTTTCAGGTACCCTGGCCACAAAACATTTAGGGCTTTTTTTTTACCACCACTTGGTAAACAAAATGGTAGCCAATGCAGACTGGTACAAGACTGAAGTAAGGTCAAAAAGCAATCCAGCTGCCACATTTTTCATAAACTGCAGTTTCCGAACACTTCAGGGACAAGGCTATTTACAGGTTCCATCCTGAATTACAGTTGTTTATTAATCAGTAATACATATATCTTATCTGGACAGACCTTTGCTAATTTAGACACAGGATTGTTTCTGTCTTATTTAACACAAATAGGGAAGAATCTAGATAATGGAAGACAACAGTAAAATGATTCTTATGTTTAAAACATACTGAATTTGTACAGCAAGCAGCAAAAGCTCTTCAGCTTCCTGTAGTTCATTCCTTTCTTTCAAGATATTTCCCAAGTTGTTCATGGCATGCACATACTTTGGATTCAATCTGGGATTCAAAATACAAGAAAAGAAAGAGGGGAGAATAATTTACTGGAAAGAAGGAGTGATATCTGTCACTGCAAAGAACGGCTCCCAATACCACCTCCTCACCATTTTCCCACTGGAGCCAGCCTTGTGCAATTTAAAACACCTGAACTGTGTATAAAATAATTACCATCATCTCAACAAGACATAGAGAGACATAGGCAAGAAATTGTGCCTCTTACAAAACGCTTATTGCAACAATTTTCATATTGCTACATGGGTTTTGCTACTACCTACATTGCTTTCTGTCAACTGGGGTTTGTTGTTGTTGTTGTTGTTAACAATGCTGATAGTTAAACAGCCTCTCATGATGGTTAACAATAGAAAATCAAGTTCCCATTGTATAATTTTTAGAAATCCCCACAATTTTCAAAAAGCAATTTGTTGCTTTCCTTCAGGAGCCCACACAAGCAATTAATGTTAAGGTTGCCATTGAAAAAGTAATCCCAACTGTTTGATTATTTTATTATGCCCCCGTGCTTTCATATCACATTATGTGTGATTTATAGCATTTGTCCTATCTCAACAACACCAACAAAAATAATGAATTCAAATTGTCTTACCATTTTTTAGTACTTAGACAAACTTGAATTGAGAGATGAAAGAATGGAAAGTAGTGTTTCCTGTATCATGCTGCCACTATTTACATTCAGTTTTTGCATTTAATATGATGCTCACTAAGGAAACATTTATTTAATTTACAGAACATTCTACATACAATTCTATATTCCCTCTTATAAGTCAATCCAAATGTTCAGTTAATCAACATTGTGCATCTACTTCCTATATTTTTAATGAAGTGACTCATACCTTACCGCCTCCCTATAATAGTTGATTGCAGCCGTTTGGTTCCCTTTATCAGCCAAGTTTTTGCCAACATTATAATGAACCTGGAAGGAAAGGTAGGAATCGCATTAATGGTTCCAAACATTCATTTATTGCTCTTATAACACAGGATGCTTATAGTGTACAGTGCTGTATTTTTCCCTCTGTAAAATATATCCTTGACTGAACAAAGCAGCAATACATTTGTAAAACAGTTTGTACAGTTATTGATATCTTCTCTGAATAATATATTTTATAATGATCTGTCAAAACGACAAAAATGAATGGCTTGAATAAAAAAAATCCTACTTTAATCTTTCTTATAAAAGCCATATCAATTCAAGAACAGGTAGTTCTTAAACTGAGGCATAACATCCTGTGGAAACTTACTAATAGCTCATGGGGTGCAGACCCAGAATAAGAACATCAGCTCTCAACTGCTGAATATGCCTGCCCCATCTGGCATAAATCTGCCCATGAGAAGCAGGTGAAAATAGCACTGAATGAGACATGTGGAATAATCTGAGGATGTCTTAAACCTACATCTGTTGATATACTTTATAAGTGAACTGGCACCCCCCCCCCCGATGTGCAACAGGAAGTTGCTGCCAATTATGAGAGATATAAGGTTGAACATGGTGAAAGCCACCCACTGTATGACTATCAGTCTCCTCCCAGTAGACTTAAATCAAGGAAAGGTTTTATGAGAACCACCACTCCTCTAAATGTTCCTCCAGCAACAGCAAGAATAGCCCTGTGGGCAGCAAAATCAGGCAATTCCAACTGGATGGCCCCCCATGAGCGTCTTCCTCCAGGGTCAAACCAAGAACAGGCGACGTAGAAGTCCCTGAACAGACTCAGAAGTGGAGTAGGCAGATCAAAAGACAACCTGGCAAAATGGCACTACCTAGAAGAATCCTCCACTTTGTGCAATTGTGGAGCAGAACAAACAACTCAGCATCTGTATGTTTGTCCACAATGCTCTGCCTCATGCACAGAGGAAGAACTGGTTAAAGCTACAGAGAATGCAGTCACTGTTGCCCATTTTTGGTCTAAAACTATTTAGCTGCTTGCGATCCCTTTATTTTGTCATTTTTAAACTTACTTATTTGTTTAATGCTTTTGACACAAAATAAATGAAAAATAAAACTGAGGCATTCATAGATACCTTTTTCTTGATTCATTGGTAGGAGCACCAGGAGCTACCATATAGTCAGATCCCTATTAGGCATTTATAATACATCCTGGTAGCATCTAGGACTTCCAGAAACAGTTCAAAATATAGCCAAGGAGCATATGAAAACAGGGAGATTAAGAAGATAACAAAAGAATAAACATCCCAATAAAAAAGATGTCAAGTCAGCCTTCAGTTATTTTTTTAATAATTACTGGGACATTTTCAATTCCAGCCAAAGTTCTAACATATAAATTGTTTTTATGTTAATCTGATGTATTTACAGATTTGTGTCATTTTTTAAAAATCTGCTTATTGTAGGACAGTTACTAGGTTATTTGGTGAACATCAAAATTCCATGCTGCAGATGTCTGGAAGAACTTTATTTGACTTTGGGGGCAGGAAAGGGTTGAACCCATATAGCGGCCTCACCTAAAATCTAAATCTGCATTAGGTTTATGCCTCTGCCACTGAAGTATCAACCTGACATGCTGCCATTGATGTAAGAGGGAAGGACTTTTTTTTGGTTATAGAGGCTTCAGACAAACATTTAGTATGTAAGGCTGAAAGGAGACATTATGGCAATGTATAAATATGTGAGGGGAAGTCATAAGGAGGGACCAGGCTTGCCCTGGAGACTAGGACACAACAATGGCATCAAACTGCCAGAATGGAGACTCCGCCTGAACATTAGGAAGAACTTCCTGACTGTGACAGCTGTTTAGCAGCTGCCCTGGAGTGTGGTGGAGGCTCTTTCTTTGGAGGCTTTTAAACAGAGACTGGATGGCCATCTGTCGGGGGTGCTTTGAATGCAATTTTCCTGCTTCTTGGAAGGGGGTTGGACTGGATGGCCCATGAGGTCTCTTCCAACTCTATGCTTCTATTTCCAAATGGTAAGCCCAGTCATGTCAAAAACTGTGTAAGGTAGAAAAGTTGGAAAATGCCTAACTTTTTTCATCAAATATAAAATGGGATGTTAAAAAAGTCATGATATAACAAAGTAAGTGGCTCTATCAGAGTGACATGTATTTTTCTCTTTGCTAATAACATCTCATCAAATAACACAATATGAAAGAAAAGTATCTCTTCTCAGCCTTTCCTGTATTATCAGCTGCATGGCAGAGCTGTTCCAGATGATAAAGAAGCTATAATAGCTAGACAAGCTTGTGACAGGTTTGCTGGGTGCTATGAAGGGAAAGGGTGTTCAAAACCTGCTCTAATCTAGATGACATTGCCACACTTCCAGAAGAGACAGAGTACATATTTCTGAGAGTAGTTTCAGTTGTTGTGGAATCATGTAGACACGATGCTTGGATAAATCCATCCAACCATCTCTCCACACTTCATGGAAAACAAACCACACCTTACTCCAGAAACAGGCATATTTGTAAGGTTTTTAGTATGCTCCAGATACATAAAATACATTAAAAGGATACATTTAAAATGCAAATATTTAAAATATATACAGTTGAAAATTTGGTCAAAGGAAAAAATGTGCAGAAAATACTTTATTAGCGAAAAAAACCTAAAGAACGGTGTCCATGGTTAATAGGATGAAAAGTTACTTTGATATTAAGGAAAATCAATGGTCAGACACATCTATGAGAACAGTGGTAATCTCCAACAAAGAAAAATCATTGCAAGGGTTATTTTAAAAAATATACCTGGAAAGATTACAGATTATTTTACAACTTTCTTTTGATTGTCTTACACACCAGATTCTGGGCGCTCTCCTTCACTTCTTTTATTTGGGGGGTGGGTGGGGGAAGTGGTTGCAAGGACAGTAACCTACTTCTAAAGTAAAGCATAAGTAGGGGGAAAACTAATAATTCATCTGTTCACGTTTTTTGCATAACAGTTATTTAAAAAAATAACAAGATAGGTGGCAAAGCTTTTTTGAGACTAATGTAACACTCTGATGCAAGGCAAATATGATACACTCTTAAAGATTTTATTTTATATCCTGCTATTGCTTTTATTAATGCATAAAAGCAGGGATTGACCTGATTTCCAGAGAAATATGATGTATGCAAAAATGATAACAGATCTTGAATTATCTGCAATACTCTTACGTTCATTAACAGTGAAAGAAATCCTCAGCTCTAGCTTTTGTTTGGGGATACCTCTTTACTGTCACTGACAAGTTTGCTTGGGGATTGTTACATTTAGAAATAAAGCAGTGCCATTTCTCCAAATGCCTTTTATATAAGCACAACTTAAGATTTTAGGTAGCAAGCCATGCCCATTTAAGTTAAATAACTATATGTGTCTGTGTATTTACAGTTCATACCTTTGGACTCTAAGTGACAGGTAATCGACAGATGGCTGAAAACTATTTGTTTGCTGGACTTACAAACATCAATGATGAGAAAAATGTGCTATTATGAGATTTGTGTATACATAACTGCATGTGTAAGTATAAAACGATGAGCCCCCGGTAGCGCAATGGGTTAAACACTTGGCCAGCAGGACTGAAGACCAACAGATGAGCGGTTTGCATCCATGATGAGCTCCCTCTGTCAGCTCCAGCTCTCCATGTGGGGAGATGAGGGAAGCCTCCCACAAAGATGGTAAAACATCAAAACTTTCAGGCGTCCCCTGGGCAACATCCTTGTAGACGGCCAATTCTCTTACACAAGAAGTGACTTGCAGTTTCTCAAGCACCCCTGACACACACAAAAAAGTATAAAACTACAGCCCTTCTATTCAGGAGACCTTATCATATTTTTCTGATCTATTTAAACTAAACTCAAGCAGTATAGCACTGGAATCATATTTCTATACAATAGCTTTCCCATCTGTTATCTCCTTTACTTTTGTTCAATTTTCTACTACAAGATTAAGATTGCTTTTTTATCAAATACCATGCACACAGACAATGCTACATCTTGACATCTGTCTCACAGAAACTCTGTAATGTCTGAAAACATTCCTCTGGAATTTTAGTAGAAAAGATCACTTTGTTAATCTTCTCACAAGAGTCTCCATTCAGTAAAACTGGATGTGTTGTGCTTCCTAAAAATGAGTAACAAGCAATAACAAGGATTCTGTAGCCCTGTCAGTGAAGATGTAACCATTTGGTTCAGGGTCTATGCTTCTAGTTACCATTAAGAGAGCAACATGTTCATGTCACCAATCCAAGGGGGTGAAACAGGGGAAGCACAAATAGAAAAGTTAAACATTTTAATTCTCAGTGTGAATGTCTTAATTAAATTACTAGTGACTGCAAACTGACTGATAAGTGAAGAAGAACTCAGATTCTCAAATGCATATTGTGAGAAGCCAATGCTGGCAATGCAATGTATTATTGCTGTCATAAAATATGTGAAAAAACATAGGAAAGTCTTACTTTGGCATTCAGCGGACACACTGACAAAGCACTCCTAAAAAGTCGCTCTTCTGATCTCCACTGGTTACTGCGGATAACACAACGCCAGACGTTGATCACCAAGAGGCCCAGTAGAGCAGCGACTAGTAATTTCTTGGAAAAAAGGAGACACATGTTAAAAACAACTCCTTTAAGGTCCTTTTACATGCCCCAATTGTCAATGATAAGGACCACTTCATGAATACCTTGTTCTTAACTTGTTTGTTCAACAGACTGAATCCATATGTTATCAACATGCAATAGCCAATACTGGGCAAGTAGGTGACTCTTTCTGCAACAACAAATCCAACTCGAAAGAATAGGTTGCTCGCCGGAAGAAAAGGAATAATGAGAAATCCCAGTCCCAATGTGAGGATCCTGCAAAGCAGGAAAGACATCACAGGTTGAATACTGAACTTTTTGCTACAGTGTTTCTACTTATAATTTTAATACAAGCATTTTACCAAGTTGCATGTTTGCCCTTTTCTTCCTCATCCTCTGTCTAGCTGGGAGGTTTTTGAAAGCAACATCATCATTGGGAGAGTAGTGAAGCGGGGGGGGGGGGGGGGGGGGGGAGAAACATCAAATTTCAGTACTGTGTCGGCAGGACTGCTGACCAATAAGTCAGTGATTCGAATCTAGGGAGAGGGAGTTGAGGTCCCTCTGTCAGCTCCAGCTCCCCATGTGGGAATATGAAAGAAGCCTCCTATAATGATGGTAAAACTTCAAACATCTAGGCATCCTCTGGGCAACGTTCTTGCAGGCGGCCAATTTTCTCACACCAGAAGTGACTTGCAGTTTTTAAAGTCACTCCTGACATGAAAAAAAAGTACTGGGTTGCTGCACTGTGTCTGCAGGAAAAAATGCAATAAAACGTGAGCTACAGAAGAGTAATTCTGCTCTTGCTATACCTCTTTGCAGCTACTGTACTCGTATATGTGTCTATTTACACAATACAAGGAAATAGCAGCTGACTGCAGATTCCCTTACTGAGCAAGCATGAACATCTAAGTAAAGAAAGAAAGGGAGCATAAATCTATAGGTTTTATCCACAAAAATAGAAATCAGAAGAAAAGCAGAGGTTTGTGAAAGAAGACATGAAACTTGGATGCATTTTGGAAAAAGCGATCTCTAGAAGATGCAAAATATTTTTGTTTACTTAAAGATTTACATGAGCTGCTTGCTTCATTTCAGACATATGTATCGCTATTTTTGAATAAAAAGTTTGCCACTTTTTTGTGGTGAAGGGGCTTATTATTTTTCCCTCTTGTACCAAATTTTCTGTAAAAGAAATCAATGGCCAAGAATACATCTACTTTGTATTTAATCTTCAAGAGTGGTTCAACTTGAGCACAGAAGCTGTGGCACCATGACACTTTTTCATTATTCATCCAAGACCACATAGGATGAATCCATGCCATATTTAGGTGATGTGCTTGCATTTTTAAAAGGGCAAAATCAAAATAAAATCAGAATGTTCCTGCTGTGGATGAAGAAATGCCCAATTAAGAAAATTATATCTTTGATCCCCAAATTATACAACGTTATCATAGAGACACCTGTAGCATCATCTCAGAAATGACTGTACCACTTCTCTTCTTGAACTAACTTTCATTTCCGTGAAACGAGAGAACTTTCTCCATATATTTTTACTAATAAAATGGCATTTTTTTCTTGAACAACATTGTATTTATTTATTTCTTAAATCAACAGCCAGAACCAATGCTTTTTTTTCTTTTCTTTTCTTTTCTTTTCTTTCCTTAAAAAAGTTATTGTAAGTTGATTGAGTTATTTATTTATTTTACAAAAGGAACATTGTTGAAAGAGGTGACGAAAACAACATCCGTCAATTACACTTCATTCTGGCCACAAATTACTTTTTACCCCCTACAGAGTTAAGGATTTCAAAATGCCATTTCAGGGGGGGGGGGGGGAGATAAAGCAACCATCCATACCCCCTTTATTTTACAAGTCTTCCCCCCTCCAGAGGCAGCATTAAAAATGATGGAACCAAATTGGGAAGGGAATGCTAGTCTGCGCTATAAATATTTATTTGAACTGCATTGGCAAAGGTGTATTGATTCCAACAATTCATTAAAAGAAAGCAAGAAAGCAAAATAACAGTTCTACATTTAAGACCATAATGTCTAGAAAAGAGATTTAAAATTCAACAATGCCTTTTACCTTCTCTTCTGGCTGTCTTCGGAGCACAAGGCTTGGCACATCAGAGCAATTAGGCAGAACCAAAGAACTCCTAGTGCAATTATTCTCCAGTCACTGACTGATTTAATAAGGGGCACGCAGCCCATTGACCAATCAAAACACAGCCACCAGGGACACAGCAGCAACCATGCATTCAACGAATAGTAGTAATTATAGTTTATAGCCTGTCAGTCAAAGGAAAAACAAACATTTACTTTATACAGAACTTAAGAGGCTGCTGGGAGGGAGGAAGAGATAAAATTTTACAACTACTTTTGCAGATATTAAGACTTTTGTTTAAGCTAAATGAAGAACTCTTGGCAAAGTCTAGCCATATTTAGACTAATCAACACAACCTGAGTGGAATCATTACACCACTATCCTCAACCCCCATTATACAAATTCAATACAAAAAGATTCCCATATCTGCAGGATCGGCTCCTGTGGTTTCACTTACCCACTCCCCCCCCCAAAAAAATCAGTTTTCTCTAGGCATTATCTAGGTTCACAAGTACAATTCTATGGCATGCTTCCACTTACAGTCACTCATTTCAATGGGGTTTGTTATTATCCATGGTTTCATATTTCCACAGCAAGTCCAATGATAAATATTGGTATTCCAAGGAAGATTTGTTTTTAGGAAGGTTACACAAGTCAGGGGCTTCCCTACTTTGGACTATGGAATGCGCTATACTCTTAAACATCTTGTACTTCAATGTGTACTATTCACAGAATCTTACTCCTGCTCCATAACCCAAAAGATTACGTTTAGATGCAATTCGCACAAATAGCAACAACAAAAACAGAATTGGCTCCCAGCTTACAATATAAAAAGTCATGGCACAAAAAGAGATGGTGGTGGGGTGAGGTGGTTTTAAAAGGTTGGTGGTCTAGTTTTACAGCATGGCTTATGGAATAGACCTGTTTCCCACTTCATCCCCCAATAATGCAGTTTGCTAGAATGGCTGCTAAAAGTAACACTGAAAATGGATATTTTGGGCATAAATGAGATACAACCAACACAAAACTCTGTCCAAGTTTGTAAGATTAGGACAAGTTCAATAAAATCAGTACCATCCTGTCTAAATTATCTAAATAGCTTCTGGATCCTCTAACTGTACAGTGTAGGCAACTAAGGGAAAGTCTATCAGTCAAAGGAGACTGTCAGAACATAAGAGTGGCTATAGCAAGGTTTAAAACAACAACAGCATACCTAGACTTTCCAAGTACAACTCATAGAACTAAACAGCCAGTACACTTAGAGAATAACCTTTGTGGAGGGGTTATCAAGTAAACAACATCTGACAAAGTTACCTTATGGCAAACCAACTAGTCCACACAGGCCATTGCTACGCTGGTCCATCTGGTCTAGTACTACTGACTTTGACTTACAGCGGTTCTCCAGACAGCTTTTGGCACTACCAGGGAATGAACTGGACACATTGTAGTACATCTGTTCTATCAATGATGAGCCTAAATACGTAGAAGGAAGCAGATCCTGTCTGGTTTTGGAAGTTAAGCAGGGTCAGTACTGCAAAGTGTTTGGATGAGAGACTGCTGAGAAATTACAGTTGTCATAGGCTATATTTCAGAAAAAAGACCTGGCAAAACAACCTATGAGTTCTCTTCCCTAAGAAAACCCTATGAAATTCATGGAGTCATCATAAATTGTAGTAGTCATCAGGGAATTTAAAGCAGACACACACAGAATTGATCCTTGTTCTCCTTGCCCTTTCTTTAATTTACTGAAAAGCAATGCAATGGCAACTTACCCTTACAAGTGGACTATCCGCAAATGAAGCCGGGTTATCCACTTCAGTAAATGCTGGAGGTCCTGTGCCCATAATTCGCCAGCGCACATACAGTGCGGTGGCTCCTCCAGATAACAGGAGTGTCATCCTGAAAAGGAGTCCTTTTTTAAAAACCACCAGGCTCTAGAGAGAAGAAAAAGAAAAGAAGGAAGGAGAAAGGTAGAACTGTTAAGACTTGGGAAAGCCTTTGCTAAAAACTGGAGTAGTGGTGGGAGCCCTGCAAGATAAATGTGTTGGGATGGAAAATGGTAGAAAAAGAAATGACAGCCCCAGTGTCTGGCACAACAAGGGTTCTTCTGCATATAAAAATACATGGTAGAAAGAAGTTTGAAAGCTGCATCCTACCATCATAGTGTAATCACAAAGAAAGCGATCCGGCTTTTACCAACACAGGATACTTGTTTGGGACCAGGAAGGCATGGGCAACCTTACTGATATTCATCTAGAAGCCATCAGTCTTGGAGCAATACGTAACAGTATGAGCAATTCACAACTGCATTTATATTTCGCATCTTATGTGAAAACAGGGAAACATCATCATAGCCAATAGGCAGAAAAAATGAAATGCAAAGATACAGAATAGGGGACGCGTGGCTTGAGAGCGGTATGTGTGAAAAAGATCTTGGAGTCCTAGTGGACAACAAGTTAAACATGAGCCAACAATGGGACGTGGCAGCAAAAAAAATCCAACAGGATTTTGGTCTGCATTAATAGGAGTAGTGTCTAGATCCAGGGAAGTCATGTTACCCCTCTATTCTGCCTTGGTGAGACCACATCTGGAATACTATGTCCAATTCTGGGCACTACAATTGAAGGGAGATGTTGACAAGCTGGAATGTGTCCAGAGGAGGGCGACTAAAAGGATCAAGGGTCTGGAGAACAAGCCATATGAGGAGCGGCTTAAAGAGCTGGGCATGTTTAGCCTGAAGAAGAGAAGGCTGAGAGGAGACATGATAACCATGTATAAACATGTGAGAGGAAGTCATAGGAAGGAGGGAGCAAACTTGTTTTCTGCTTCCCTGGAGACTAGGACTCGGAACAATGGTTTCGAACTCCAAGAAAGGATCAATCAATTTCCCACTCACATGTCTGCAAGTCTTTGCAAATCCTATATAGATATAATTATCTACATATAGAGGGATATCTAGACATGTATATATGAATATGGATATATAGGGCTTGCAAATATTACAGGTGAAAAGATTACACAAATATATATATATATAGACATGTTTAGATAAGATATGAATATAAATATATAGGGCTTGCAAATACTGGCAGGGGAAGTGTGCACACATAGACAGATTTCTAGATAGATATAAACATAGATATATAGAGCTTGCAAATATTGCGTGAGGGAAATGCACATATATAGAGAGAGGCTTTGCAAATGTTTCAGGGGAAAATGCATGTATATCTAGCTCTGCATTCTTTATATAGGCATTGAATGTTTGCCTGTTACTATGTTGGAAGCCCACCTGAGTCCCCAGGGGGAAATAGGGCGGGATACAAAGGAAGTTTTTAAATTATTATTATTATTATTATTATTATTATTATTATTATTATAAGTTATTGTTGATACCATATTGTTTTTGTTGACCCTACTTTTCCACTTACAGAGCTAGTTTACTGTTTTTCTTTGAAATACGGTAAATATTCAAAAACATTTAACCTACCAATGCCTCAATTAATGCAATTTTATTTATACCAATTTTTATTTTGAAATTTACTAGTAGCTGCTGTATTTCCTACCCTCAACTTATACTCGAGTCAATAATTTTTCCCAGTTTTTTGTGGTAAAATTAGGTGCCTCTGTTTATATTCAGGTTGACTTATACCTTAGTATATACTGTACATTATTCCAATATAAAGCCTCTTGACCCACATGGCCAGCTATTTTAATGGATTTCATTTTCATAGTTTAGAGAAGTGCTGGGTGTACTACAATTGTAACTCATTTTCCACAGGGATTTGCATGACTAAAGCCTATTGAATATTCACGGTGTGCTCTATGTTTAAGTTCTAACATGCCTACTTGTTTAGTGAAAGAACAGTATCTATTGAAGCATGAAAGTGACAGTATAGATGAGAACATTACGCTAACAAATGTTAACATTTAAACTTTAACCATGTGAGGACATCAACTAAAGTGAAACAGACTCACCTCCAATGACTTATCCTTACGAAGTATCTTCAATAGGATTTCCAAAATATTGAGCTTGTTAATCACTACAGCATCAAAAAGAGCATTTAAACCCTACAATAAGAGAAAATAAAGGAAGTAAGAATACCAAAGAAAGATAATAATCTGATTTAATTTATAGTCGTATATATGTCAACCTCAAGTATAAATCAAGGGCAGGTTTGGAGGACAGAATTATGGATTTTTATATGACCCATGAATAAGTCAAGGATTATTCTGTTAAGGAGAGAAACTCCAGCAGCACCTCAGGATATCCACCAACCTAGAAGACAGGCATTTTTCATGTTACATACACACTTAAAAGATGAAATATCACCTACGGAGATCAGCAGGCAATTGCTATTTTTCTTTCCAAACAAAAGGCCTTTTATAATAATAATAATAATAATAATAATAATAATCATCATCATCATCTTTATTTTTATACTCTGCCTCCAGCTCTCCGAAGGGACTCGGGAGTGCTTACAAAGGGACATGCCCAACAAAACAGGTTAAAATAAGCACCTAAAAACAAACTCAGTGCTATGTATTCCTGGGAATGGTTCCTTTAAAAATAAAATAAAATTAAGGTGTAGTACTAAGACTTACTTAAAAAAGGAACCATCTCCTTCTCTGGGTGGTATAACTCTGGGAACCATATAGAATATAGTCCTACAAGTACTATACTGGCTTCCAACCTCAATTTAAAGTGCTGGTCTTGATACACAAAGTTCTAAAAGACTTGTGACCACGAAATCTGAAAGACACCTTCTCTCAGATGAACCTGCCAAAAACCTGACATCTTCAAAGGGGACTCTGTGGCATCTCTCAATACCATGTGAAATTAGGTGTTGGTGGGTACATGTAACAGGGTTTCCTCTGTAGTAGTGGAACTCCCTACACAAGCAAGTTAGGCTGGTCCCATTCAAGCTTTTTTTTATTTTTTTGCAGGCAATTGCAGATGACTTGCAGCATGCTTGCAGGCAACATGCTGCAAATCACCACCTACTGCAATGCAGCCTGAGCCCTGCCACATGCACAATGGAGGACTTTCTCACAGCGACACCAGAGGCCCTCGAAGTGGCCAGCTACTGGTCAAAGGACATTTAGTATAATGCCAAGTTTTAAACTTTCTTTGTGTTTTTAAATACATTACAACTGTAACCTCAATTTGCTTCTGACACAATAAATAAATAAATGCAGGCAACAAAAACAATACTATTGTACATTGCATTCAATATCTAAAACTGCTACTTAGCTGTGTTAAACTGGATTCTTGGACTATTACTAGAAGTAGAAAAAAGTATTTGAATATGTTTTAAAATTCTCTTTATTGTTGTATTGTTTTATTTCTTAATTGCCTTAGGAACCTTTCTCAGGTGGGAGATGATACAGAGATACATTAAATAAATAAATAACAATGATTTCAAAATAATTATTGCAAGTTATATAAAATATTCAGAAAATATGGACACTTGGCTTACTTTATACAGTGGGTTTGACCTATTATAAGTTTTTAAAAAAATAAAATCTTAAAATTGGGATGAGGGGGGCTGAATTTTAGGGCCCAGTGGCCTGTTTTTCTGCACCTATGGTTTAGAGCAGTGTTTCTCAACCTTTCTAATACCGTGACCCCTTAATACAGTCCCTCATGTTATGGTGACCCCCAATCATAACATTGTTTTGTTGCTACTTCATAACAGTCATTTTGCTACTGTCATAAATCATAATGTAAATATCAGATATTCACTGGACCAAACTGGGCACAAATACCCAATGCACCCACATGTAAATGCTAGTGGGGTTGGGGGAGGATTGATTTTGTCATTTGGGAGTTGTAGTTGCTGGGATTTATACTTCACCTATAATCAAAGAGCATTCTGAACTCCACCAGCAATGGATTCGAACCTAATTTGCCACACAGAACTCCCATGACCAACGGAAAACACTGGAAGGGTTTGGTGGGTATTGACCTTGAGTTTGGGAGTTGTAGTTCTATATCCAGAGAGCACTGTGGACTCACGCAATGGTGGATCTGGGCCAAACTTGGCACAAATACTCAATATGCACAAATGTGAACACTGGTGGAGCCTGGGGAAAATAGATCTTGACTTTTGGGAGTTGTAGTTGCTGGGATTTATAGTTCATTACAATCAAAGAACATTTTGAACTCCAGCAATGATAGAATTGGCTTAAACTTCCCACACGGAATCCCCATGACCATCAGAAAATACTGTGTTTTCTGATGGTCTTTGGCGACCCCTCTGAGACCCCTTCGCGACCCCCTCAGGGGTCCCGACCCCCAGGTTGAGAAACACTGGTTTAGAGGATGTCCTTATACTGAAGCTAGGTCTGAATTATTGCTTTCAAAAGACAGGTATTTTTCATGTTACTTAAGACCATATTTAAAAGATGAAATATCACCCATGAAGATCTCCAGGCAAAGTCCTTTGGAGGCTTAGGGCGGGGGCAGAAAAAGTGTGTCCGTGGGGGCCAAGGATTGCAAAAACAGCACAGAGATCCTGGACTACATTTTGCTCACTTTGGCTATAGACATATTGAATTCTTCACAAACCCTAAAATATAGCTCTTTGTCCAATTTTAAAGTGAACAAGAGTCAGGTAAGAGGGTTGGCTGATGGAACTTTTGAGGTCATGCACTTTACGAATTATATAATCATTTAGTAAGGAACCTCAAGGGATACACAAACCCAAATAATACAAAGGATATGTATCAGAAATACACATCTTGTCATACGGACAGATTTTACTGAACTGAGCTCAGCACATTAGAAAACTTACCAGTATTGTAATCCCTTGTTCTTTGCACAGCATGGCTGTAGCACCGAGAAGAACACTCAACAAGACCCAGGCTGTAGAAAAATGGGACCGTTCCTTACCTAGCAATTTCAAAAGAAGACACAAAGAACATATACGCACAATGTCTACAACTGTTTAAACCTGGGTACTAGGTAGAAAGGGGTTATTTTTGGAATAAGAGCTATAATTTAAAGTCACATTTTATGTCAGGTTCTCTGGGTAGAAAAGCAAATGTCTTTCTTTGTAGAAATTTTCAGTGAGATATATGTATCTATGTAGCTAATAATATTCTGCCTGTATTAATAGAAAGTACACTCTGTTTTGGTTCATTCTGTTAGGTTCTATCACAGCTTAGCTTGTAGTTGCAAATTTTAGAAATGCTTTCCAGGAGGTAATCACATTTTGAACATAGATTGAATGATCTAACAATTAAAACAGATCCTAATGAAACAAAATATCACACAGGCTGATTTCCTATTTTTCAACAGCAATACTCCCACATATTTTCATGATGTATTATTTCACACCTTTATAAATCTCCTACTTCAGATAGTAGAGATATCAAAGGCTCAGTATGGCTGGATTTGCATGCTATAGTCTGCAATGGGTAGCCAAGTACAAATACATGGCAAGTCCAAAGAAAATGTTCATGCAAAATTTAGTACCTGCAGCCAAATCAGACACAACATTAATGATCTGTGAATGGATTTCTTTCATCTCCTTTTAAAGTCAGCCACTGGGCCCTAAACTAGCCTTTAAGATGCCTTTTCCTATGCTGTATTCCTTGCACATGTGCACACCCAAACAAGCAAACTTGTTTCCATTGTTGCTGCTACTCTGTGCCTTCATGTCATTTCTGACTTATAGTGCCCCTAACCTGAACTTATGCGTTTTTCTTGACATTATTTGTTTGAGAAGCAGTTTGTCTTGCTTTCCTTTGAGGCTGACAGAGTGTGATTTGGCCAAAGTCTACCGCTAGACACTCAAACCCCGGTCTTCCAGAGTCCTAATCCAACATACAAGCCACTACTCTCAATTATTTTTCCCTTTTCTGCCTTTGCTTTTGTGTACAACTTTTCTAATATAGAAAAAAGATATTATTGGGTGATTATGAATCAGGGGAGCAAACCTATGGTGGAAATAATGCCTTGTCCAGTCATAAGTCTTCTAGATCCTTCCAGAATTAGTGGGTTATTCCTTTTCCCCAATATGGTACCAAGCATATGGCTTCACTAAACAGTGATAGATCAATGCCATGTGTTCCTTGCTGTGCCTTGCTTTTCTATTGTGAACTTTACGATATCAGGGAGGCAGAAAAGAGGACAATATCTTGTATCTCAGGCCAGAGGACTGTGGCTTTCAGATTTTAAAAAAATTAAAATGAATTAACAAGACTTTTTGGAGAAATGGGACATTTTTCCTTTCTTTTATTTATTTATGTCCCACCTTTTCCTCAATAATGCCACTCAAAGAGCTTATAAAAACAATAAGCCAGGAATCAGAGGTTGTTGTTTTTTTAAAAAAAATTTTTTTTTTCACAACCATGATTTACAGATTGATTGTCTTGATGTGTATTAGTCGAAGGCTAAATTGTGAATGCGGACACACTGAAGCATGTGCATTCCCAATGCCCCCATTTAATAACGGTGATTGTTTGCATTTCTTTATATCTATAGCGAGTTCTGGAACTGAACAAGATCTTCTATACCTACATTACTTTTCAATGTTTATGTATAATCTATGTCCCGGCATTGAATGTTGGCTGTTTATATGTTGTGCTCTGCCCTGAGTCCCCTTTGGAGTGAGAAGGGAGGAATATAAATGCTTTAAATAAATAATGAATAGTTACAAAATATTACAAGTGGGACAAGAAACTTTCCAAACTCTGGTTTCAGGTATATTTTTAGAAAATGAAACACAAGAATTCAGAGCATTTTTTTTTCTCATTCAGAACTAAGATTCTAGGGCTCTAATGTGCTCTCATTTACCACAAAGGCCCAGATAAAGCTGATAACCAGACGCACTGTAGAAACTTGATTCACTGATGTTCAAAATTTAAGAACACATGTGCATACACGTCTTCAGTGCTGTTCCAAGAATGGGCAACATACAAAGTTATAAAAACAATATACACTGCAGTGCAGCATATCAAAGTAATCAATTAGTGTGAATATAAAGCAACGAAGGAGTGCCAATTAATACTCCAAAGATACACACGTGCCAAGTGTGTTAATCAGTTTAACGAAGCACACCCCCAACCAGCTATGCTGCTTCTCCCACCACAATTGCCTGTCAGAAAGGGGAACTCATTCCTAGCTGGCACCTGAATCTAGTTTAAACTGGTACACCATATTGTGGGAAGGCACTCTGCCACCTTCACCAGATGGTCACAAGTTTAATGGGTGCCAAAAAATTGCAGCAAACATTTGATTTGTGTTCCAAAAGCGAAATACCCACAAGTGTTTCTGTCACTTTATATAAGAGAATCTAGTTTACAGAACTAGATTAAACTCATACTGAGAGGCCACCCAACTTGAACACACTTTTATGCTCCAATGAAGTCATGGTGGGACAGAGGTCTATTTGGGTTATGGGCTCGCTTGAACACACAGCTCTGGGAGTTTCTGAGGAATGCAGTCTGTAATGTAATGTACTTTGCAGAAAGACCAGCTCCATCAGTCATAATATTCAGGAGGCTGGGGAGAACTTATTATCAATGCTATTTGCCAGGATCCTTGCTGTATTTGGTGTTCTCAAGAGTAGAGACGAGGAAGCCATCTGAGTGCCATCTAATCTTGGGGGGGGGGGGGCACCCTGTCTGCTTTGCTTAGATAAGGTTAGAATAATAGAATAACATAGCTGGAAGGGGCCATTGACTCCAACCTTGTGATCAACGCAGGACCTTCAGCTAGCCTATCCCCAGCAGGAAACTCTTCAGACTTTTGGAAGATATCCAGAGAAGAAAAACACCACCATCTCTATAGGCAATTGGTTCCACTGCCAAATCACTTTTCCTATCAAGAATGTCCTTCTTATGTTTAATTGAAATCTATTCTCCTGTAACTTAAAACTATTAGAGCTGGTGATACTCTCTGGGGCATCAAAGAACAGGCCTGCCACCTCTTCTCTGTCACAGCCCTTGGGGTATTTGAAGACTGCAATCATATCCCTTCTTTTCACCCAACTAATTCAGCCTTTCCTTACATGTTTATTTTTCATATCTCTTATCAGCCTTTTTGCCATTTCCTGAACCTGCTCCAACTACATCTAAACACAATTGTCCAGGTGAGACTGACCACCTCAGAATATAGTCAGAATGCGCTAGCAGTGACAGTTAGATTTGTTCTTTTTCTTTGAATCTGCAGCTTCAGATTTCACTCTTTATGTATTAAGCTTCAATGACTTCATTTTACTATGGAATGTATCCTGGTGCTATTATATCATTTTTGCTGATTTATTTAAATTTATGTATTGCAAAAAAAAAAAACCATTTTGTTCTCCTGATCCATTTCCCCAAATTGTGATTTATTTTGATAAGCAATATTTATTGTGATTCATTTTGGTGCAACTCCTTAAATCAGGGATAGATAACTGTACAAGGTTAAGGGGATACACTAGACATCTAGTAGAACCTGAAGGGTAGAACTTCTCCCACCAAAAATAATATTCAATTTTTTGTCCCCAAATACCTTCTATGGATGGTTATGTTTAGTCTCCCTGGGTCCCTTGAGAACACCTGAGATATTAGAAGGCAATTTTTAATTTAAGAAATTAACACCAAAAAAAAAAATTATGCCAGGGGTGGCAGGGAAACACCAAACATGTTAAAATGTCTACTACTCCACATGGAAATAGTTTTGGGGCATTTTGAGAAAAAATAAAATGTTTTGCAATCATTTTTGTTGGCTTTTTTTTTTACCTTAGGGGCATTGGAAGGCAGAAAAATGGACACAAGGGCTAAATTTTTCCCATTCATTGCTTAAATTAGCTAACAGATTTGATCTAAGCATGTTCCTACTTGTATCCAGGATAAATTCAAATAACCTAAAGCAAAAGTGAGTCAATTTAGAACAAATATTGCAGCAGAAAACTAAGGAAAACCGAACTGTTGGAAGTGTGTAAATATGTGCTGTAGAAACCAGTCTGTGCCTTCAAACTAGGCTTGCGTATTTCTAGGTAACTATGAGGGGGTAACAAATATATTATTTTCATTTGTATCATCAAATATATTCAAAATTGATAGTGTTGAAGTACTTACTTTCTCTAAACGACTTGCAGTAGACAAGGAAAGACAACAAAAAGAACAGGGCACACAACAGGTCTGCTCTGCCAACAATCCCTGCAATCTTGAAGGGAAAAGGAAGAGGAATGGAAAATCAACCCCCAAAAAGGCAAAGAGTGAAGTATAATACATGCATTCCTTTATAAGCGAATTTGTGAATTGTGAGCACAATTCATTCAAACACCAAGTCCCCTTGATTTCAAATATGAGAGCAAATACATCATCCAGTTTTCTGAAACAACGGACCTTTAGGAGTGATCACCTTTAGTAGTATTATATCCATGGTGAAGATGCAGAGCTCTCTATCCAGCATTAGAAGTCAAAACAAAAGTTTTGTTCACAGATGAAGAGGTCCCAGGAAAAGCTGACTGTATGTTTCCATATATATACCTGATTTTAAATGGAAAACAAGCTAGAAGAGGGCTCCTTATTGAAGTCCTCTGCTCTTAGAGGAAAATTGTTTAAATAACCCCCATATACCCCTTCACACCCCAAGGTTAGCTTCAGCATTATGTGGTATATATGCTATCACTCGCACTTATAAGAGAATCTCTACACAATACTTCCGGACTCAGATTATGTGAAAATTCAAGGCAGGAGCACAGCTCAGAAACAGAATTTCCTATTCAGAAGTTCACACCTATTTCAAGAGGTTAAGAGCAGAGCTAGTCAAAGAGTCTGGCATCAAGAACGGGGCAATACTAGCGCAGCTACATCCAAATGTTATGACAACTTTCTGAACTCTCTGGACAGCATAGCCAGTGGCTGTATCAAGCTTGAGATTGTAATAGTCCCCAAAAGTAACTTTCCCAATTTCTGCATTGATTGTATATGTGATCAATGTATGTCCAGGGCTCTTATAAAATGTATAATGGGTACTGATGCCTTGAAGGCACATACACTCACACTTTGAAATCATATATATTTAGCCCAATTCAAATGTACCATCCTTGAAAGCAAACACAAACATTACCATGTCTCTTCCCTGTCCCTACACACACACACTTTACATATCAAAAGTCTGAAATCTCTGATGTTGATATCTACCATTACACAACCACCCCCTCACCCAATATATACCTCTGGAGACAGATTATTTCAAATAACCGTGAGTCAAAACATGCCATTTATGCTGAAAATCAAGGTTGTTCTTACTGCAAAACAAGCAGCTTTTCATTGTGTTGGGTTTGAAGTAAAAGGGACTCTAATGCTGTTTTTCCATGAAAGCTGTCATTAAATGCATTTGATATAAAAATGTTTGTTTTGATCAGATTGTTGTGAATCATTCCTAGTCAATGATTCTGCATAATTAAGAAATTAAACAATAAACCAATGATTTCTTTTGTTTAAAGTATTCCAAAGAGAAAGAAGAGCTACATTATGTTTTGATGTGATGCTGAAGTTTTCCTTTTACAGAACAGATTTAATGGTTATTCAATGAAAAGTCTAAGAACATGTAAATCAACTATGTTACTAATCTAAGAAGATGCTGACCTTGGTATAAATACATTTGCCAATCCCAAATCAAATATGCCTATCAGATCTATGGGACTGAACTAAATCCAACTTGTTCAATGGGCCTCTTCAATCCACTGAACTAACAGCTGGATTCAGGCTTTCATCAGCAATCTGAATAAGAGTCCACTGGGGGCTTTGTCTAAGAGTCTAGCTTCTAAAACAGTTATATTTCATAAAAGAAAAGTTTCCCCCACTCCTTTTCCATGCAATTGATTATCTACCCAAAATGCTTATCTGGTGCATTGGGGTATATGGCTCTGAGGCATATCAGAGGAGGGACAGTTGGCAGTCTGGGGGCCAAAGGGATGAGAAGGTGTCCTTCCCCTAATGCAGTGGTTCTCAACCTGTGTGTCCCCAGATGTTTTGATCTTCCACTCCCAGAAATCCTTACAACTGGTAAACTGGTTGGAAATTCTTGGCATTGTAGGCCAAAACACCTGGGGACCCCTAGGTTGAGAACCACTGCCCTAATGCCTTCATAGAAGTCCAGTTGGGGCAATGTCACATCATCATCCAGCAATCCCAAACACCTCACCCCATACTGTTGAAGGGACACTACAGCTATTCAAAGATACTTTTCGTTTCTTGTGTGGGAAAGGAGCTTTTATAAACCTCTTCCGGACTTACTAAATTTATCACAGGATCCAAGTCAACCTTGTTTTTGCCATAATCAAATCCCAGTAACATGTTAAACTTGACCTTGGTCATAGAGATTGTCCTCATTTTGAAGACAAAACACAGCCCTATAAGGTATAGGAATTTTCTGCAAATATGATTCTGCAGTGAATCCTTATTTATTTATATATTGGTTCTATTTATGCCCCACTTTTCCATCAATGAGCTGATGCATTTTCCTTTCATCCTGATAACAATGCCATGAAGTAGGTCAGGCTGAAAGAGAGTGACTGGTTTAAGGTCACCCAACTGGTGGCTAGAAGGAAACTAGAATTCAAAATTATGAAGTCCTGATTCAGGACACTAACACTGGTTGATATATACTCAGCTTCTATGATCCAGCTTTACATGTTACTGGGATGTGATTCTGGCAAAAATAAGAAAAGGTATCACATCACTTCCATATTATTATTAAGCAGTACCTGTATGGCTGGATTATATACTGAGTCCTCATTTTAGTGCTACACTTCCCTAAAAGATACTGCTATGAACTGAGTGAGATACAACAAACTCCTTAACAGATATAGTACTCTGTACCATATGGTTTCAACCCCACATGTATTATAGGAGACTGAAGGTGTAGTGGGGATCAGGGAAAGTTGACGGTCCCATGCTATGTGATGAAGAGAAGCCATCATAGGATGGTATCATGCGTGCCATTAATGTCCAAAGGGGTAGCTGCATTAGTTTGCTGCAAATAAAAGGAAGGGAAAGGTTAACAAGCTTCACTTTGCAGAACCTTTTGCAGATTACACCCCGCTTCTTCAGATTGTTTTTACATTTGAAGAAGTGGGAAGCAGTTAGCAAAAGCTTAAGCCAAATAAAGCTTGTTAAGATTCTAAGGAGTCACGAGAGCCCTTCATGTCACTAATGCATCTCACCTTTAAGCACAACACATGCTTTCTGCCTTGAACAAGGAAGAGTTATTTTGAACAGATCAGTCTTACTGACTACCTACATCAGGTTGAGGAAGCCTCAACAAGACCTCTGCTCTTGGGACTTGCCACAGTCTGTGCAACTCCCAGTAATGAAACCAGGAGCGATGTGTTTTGTAAGCCTCTTCTGTAGGGAAAAATAAGGCATAGGATGCTGACATTACCTCTTTGTTTTAAAGGAAATTTCTTACTCCAGGAAGAGCTGCAAGCTTACAATTTGCCAAGGGAAAAAAATCCAGGGGGCCCAAGGTCTGCAGAAATGGTGTAGGAGGCAACAAGTCATCTACCCTTGACCTCCTTTCCTTACACAAAAGATTTCTCTTTCTGAAGGATTAGTCATCTGTAAGAACATATTTTTTTATTATTTTGAAGCACTACATAGAACATGCAGATTGATGGTACACAAACAGAAAATCTATGTTTTATACACACACATACTTACTTGGAGGACTGTTTATACATCATGTATTTGAAATGATAAAACAGCATGTAGAATTAATGGAGCCCTGGCATTTTTGAGAAGTTATTAATCCTTGAGTTATTAGGTACTTACACATTCAGTGTGCACGGGATGTACAGCAAACAGCAATGCAGCTAGTAGGGATGATTTGGGAACAAAGTTTAGTCGTCTTCCTTTATTGGTGTACTGGAGCCCACCCAATAATATTGAGAAGACGTCAACAATTAAGACAGAGATAACACAATGGAGTATTATATTGATGATATGAAAGCCCAATGGATGGAAGCCTCCGGCCAAACGGTAATTAATCCTATACAAAGGGGGAAAAATACTGTTGTTAGAAATGAGGTTAAATGAAATTTTACTGAAGGGTTAAGCATTAATATAAATCTTCCGAGAAAATGTAGTTAAAGTTCTACCAATTCTATATGCTGATCACATTTCACATGATGGCAAAAGATTCTGGGATAACAGACAAGGCAGACCAAATGAGCTCTGCAAATTAGCATCCTGGCTTTTTTCCAGCCACCTTCCAAGCTTTTAGATGGGTGATTACACTGGCAAGGATCATTCATAAAGAATCTTGCACATCAAAGTGAAAGAAGAAATAGAAAACGTGTGTCAAAAAAAGACATGTTGGTTGAAAAGTCATTTTTTATCTGAGTCTTTTTCCCCAGTCTATTACTGTCAGCAGTTATGGATCTACAGGCCAGACTTTACAGCAGGTACTTCTCTTTTTATTTGAAAATGTAGAAATTTATAAAGAAGTTCTAATGTTTATTAACCAGGGACTTTCATTTACAATCCAGGGGATTAAAATATGTGTGGTAATAGGTGGATGTTGGGTTGTGTGCTCACTGTAAATGAGGCTAATAGGTAATGTGAACAGCTCTCCTTGAAGAGAATGCCCCCTTACAGACCCAAGGTGGATGAAGGACAGTTTCAAATTGATAACACTGGTTCCACTTCAAGAGCCATGGCAGCATCCTATGGGATCCTGGGGTTTATAGTTTCTGAAGGCATTGGAGTTTTCTAGATAAGAGCTTTACATGCATCTCCCTAAATGGCAAATCCTAGGATGGAACCATGGCAATTAAAGGGGGCTCATCTTACTATAATTGTGAACAGTTGTCCCTCCACACTTGCAGGTTAAATGTTCACAGATTTCATTATGCACAGATTACTTTATTTGTGGCTGCCTCTGCTGTTGCCATGAGCTATTTTAAATAAGAACTGAGATTATGCCAGTCGCTGGGAGGAAAAAAAACTGATGGGGTGGCAGAACCTGGCCATGCACTCTTCACTCACTCATTCAGATGTTGGTGAGGAAGAAAATGGGAAGAGGAGGAATGACACAGATTCCCTCACAGAGTCACTCGCTCAGGTGGGAAGGTGAAGATGAAGGTGAGGATAGGGATCTGCAGTGACTGGCAATGGGAGAATGGTAAAGAAGCCCTGGCACAACACACATTTTCAGTGTTGGATTATAGCAGGGTATTTGCCATAAACATGGTAGCAAACTGGAGGTAGAAAGATTAGCAGAATTCAACTGAGAGAATATGCTGGCAATGCTGCCCTAGCAAAGGAAAAACCACTCTGGCACGGAGAAAGAGGCTGAGAAAGGGGCGGGGTGAGAGGCGGAGTCTCATGACGTCAGGGACGTGCTGGCAAGGTTTGCTCCCGCAGGAGCCTAGTTTGCGAGGGGTGTAAGGCAGATCTGTTTCGGCAGGCCTTTGATGTTTGATATTGCTGTTTTTAAATTGTTTTAAATTGTTTTAAAATTGTGTTAAATTTTAGCCTGTTCTTGTAAGCCTCTCCGAGCCCCAGGGAAGTTGCGGCATATAAGTTTGAATAATAAACAAATAAATAAATAAATAAAATGGTTAGGTATTGTTGGGAGTGGAGGAGTCAATCTCAACCAACTGTCCATAACTAGAAAATACTAGGCAAGGAGTGGAAGAAGCAGGAATTTTATTTTAAAGTATAAGTATTGCTTGGCACAACATATAGATAAACTGCAGTATTTGTTACAAGTCAGCTATAGCAGGAGTAGGAATTGTGTGGCTTTTCAGATGTTGTAGGACTATAAGTCTGAACAATTGTATAGTCAATGGCAAAGACCGCTAAGAGTTGCAATCCAGTGACATCTGGCGAGCTTAGACAAATCCATGGCAGATATGAGCAATCATTATGAATACACATGACCTCCACTACTAGAGGAAGTGCTGGGATTTGCAAGAATTGTATGTGCAAGAAGAGAGTGATGGTCTCAACAGGACTTTGGTTTGATGTAGTATCACTCTTCTGGTTTTCTTATTTTAGAAGAATTTTTCAAAAAACTTGTAATTGCAGTACCTCTAGAAGGGAGGATTAGCTATGCTGCTGCAACCCATCTCCTTGCAGCTACTGTATTACCCACTCACAGGCTTATTCATTAAATCATCCCAACTGTCACTGGGCAACCTTATCTGAGAAAGATTGGTAATTGCCCCATCCATCTTCCTTGCATGCTTATCTTGTAGCAGCAGCAATGGAAGCAAGCAACAGTTGATAGTTAAGACTTATAGAAAGCCCAATAAACATCTTGTAATGGGAAATGGCTGTTAGTGGTGTCAAACTACATTAATTCTACACCACTTTAACTTTCTCAAAGTGTCATCTATTGGGAGTGTTTTGATTATGTGTTCCTGCATGGCAAGGGGTTGGACTGGATGGCTCTTGTAGTCTATTCAAACTTTTTGGTTCTAACTGCCAAGGATAAATGTTATGGAATCATGGGAGTTGTAGTTTTACAAGGCCTTTAGCTTTTTTTTGCCAAAGAGCAATGGTGCCTCACCAAACTACAACTACCAGGATTCCATATCACCAAACCATGACAGTTACACTGGCGTCAAACTGCATGAATTCTACAGTGCAGAATGACAGGATTCTGCATTCTTGGGACAGTATGAAAAAGACCCTCCCTTCCACACGTTTCACAGGCTGTAATGTGATCACTAGAATGTAAGGATGTCTTCTAAAAAGGGCTCAACCCAAAAGTATGTGTAAGGTCCTCTTTAGAAGATCTTTGAAGAACTAGCAGGCCCTGAAAAGGCCACACAAATATTTCTGGGCCGAAATATATTTGGTTAATTTATTTTTCAAATCCTGAGATTCAGTATTTCTTTCATATCTGGTCTACTGGCTGTTTCTAATTCGTTTTGTTTTTGAAATGAGGCAGATTTGTTGTTTTGTCCCTTCCAATTATTTCTGATCTTAAAGTGACCCAACCACAGGGTTTTCTTGACCAGGATGGTTCAGAGGGATTATGCCTTTCTCTAAGGTTGAAAGAGTGTGGCTTGATCAAGGTCACACACTTGTCCTATATGGTCAAATGGAGATCAAACCCTGGTCTTCAAAGTCACAGTGCAATGCTCAGACCACCATACCACATTGGCTCTCAGTGAGATAGAAGCTATGCCAGTTGGACCCAATAAACTGAGGCAGTCCCCTCTTTAAGCCAACAAAGTTGGTTCTAATGTAAATGCTTAACTCTTGACAAATGTGTTCAGACATGGTGACAATACAGGTTTGAAAAAAAGAAAGATTTATATATTTAATGCATTTTAAAGTTCTCATAGCAAAAACACTTTGAGTAGTCCACAGTCAGTTAAAAATACTTCAAAATAAAATAGGAATACAGTGAAATGATGACTAAAGAAGCCAAATATAACACCAAAGAATTCAATCTTCCACAACTTAGAATGTCACTCCAAAATGGAATATTTATCACTATCAAGGGAGCATTCCTTCATACTCAAGGGATCATCTCTATTTTTTATTTTCCTTTCTAATATCTTTGTTGCATTTTTAATAGCAGAAGGGATCTTAAGCAAAATCTGAAAATGGCTCACCTGAATGTTAGCACAGTAAGTGGTCGATAGGATTTGTGACTGGTATTGCTACTGAGTTTGCTGCCCCAAAAGTCATGATGCCACAGATCACCAATCGGAGTCTCTGCCCTGAGGTCCTGGAATCAATAGAAATGTATAAAATCAGTCTCATGAACAAAAATTATAGCTTTGGGAGAGACAAAACAGCCAATTCTTCATGTTTTGAAAAAAATAAATCATATGTCTCTGTGTGAGTTAATCCATCAATAATATCATCCTTGCACCTGTTTCCTTTCATTCAAGAAGCTCACCCATCTACACTCTATTTTTAATCTTCATGTCAACACTGGAGACCCAAAGTCAATCAGTAAGCATGATGGTTGGAACAGAAATTTGAACCTGCATCTCTACAGAACCACCTCAAAGATATTTTCAAATGGTACTTTTGAAGGTTGTTCTTGTGAAATACAATGAAAACCCTTTTGTATTATATACAAAATAATGGCTTCATCTCCAATTCTTAAACATACAAAAAGTCATTCATTTCACTGAAAGAACCATACTAACATTGAAGCTGGGTGCTTTTGGTCTACAGACAGGTAAGGATAGAAATATATTTATTTACTTGTTTGAGATTTTAAAATAATAATGAAGGAATAAATAAATAAATAAATAAATAAAAAAAACTTTATTTATATTCCGCCCTATCTCCCTAGAGGGTTTCAGGGTGTATTCCAAACAGAAAAGACAGGCATTCAATGCCGGAACATAAAACAATACACTCATAATAATGAAAATTGACAATCCAACATATAAAAACCAATTATGACTTAACAACTAAAATTAATGGAAAATGCAACCTATTACAATAATAATAATAATAATAATAATAATAATAATAATATCAGACATGAAACATAACATCAAACATTAAACAGAAGCATCAATTTCCCAGTTTCTTGAGGGCAAATAGATTGATCATTGCTTAAGACGTCTATTGAACTGGTGGGGCAAACAGGGCACGGATATGGATAGCAGCTATTAATCAGAGGTATAACGGTAGTATTACCATCTATTCCTCCTCATCATCATAAGGCAGTGAGCAAAGGTATGTCTTCAGCTGTTTCTTGAAGGGAGGGAATGGCCATCTTTAATTCTTTAGGAAGGGAGCTCCAGAGGTGGGAGGCGGCCATGGAGAAGGCACTATCTGTTGTTGTTTGTTCATTCAGTCGCTTCCGAAGGCCCTTTCTATCATTTCCAAAAAATGATATCCCATTATTTCTAAACTTTCTATTAATTTCACAAAACCCAGGCTTTCTGCTTATTTATTTTACTTATTTATTGTATTTATGGCCCAGCTCTCTCCCAGCATGGGATTTAAGGAGTGCACTTTTTTAAAAAGCAAAACACATTTTTTAAAAAAAAACCCTAACACAAATCTAAAAACAGAATTAACTGTTATTTGATTTACAAAACAGAAATAAAACAACATTAAGTGGACATTTAAAATATAATGACATATAATCACTACACCCCACCATTAAAACCTTTATCAGCTGCAACAAACTAAAAACTAGGTGGCTCTTTAAAAAAAACCTCTGTATCTACCAGTGGGAAAACAAAAGTGAAGGAACCAACTGTATTTCCCTGGGAAAGGAGTTCTACAACTTCTATTAAATGGCCATCATAAATGCACTGTAACATAGTTCTCCGAATTCATAAAAATTAAGTAAATTTTAATACATGACATCCTGGCTTGGTCATTACAACACAACACACACTTGAAATTACCCTATATACTCATGTATTGTCTAGATCAGGGGTCCTCAAACTTTGTTTAAAAAGTTCCCGGTCCCTCAGATTGTTTGGGGGCCGGACTATAGTCTGAAAAGAACCAGGAATAAATTCATATACACACTGCATATAGTCTTATTTGTAGTGCAAAAGTCAGTGAAAGAAGAATACAATATGTAAAATGAAGAACAATTTTAACGAAAACATAAAGTTATCAATACCTCAATGGGAAGTGTGGACCTGCTTTTGGCTGATGAGAGAGCCAAGTTAATTAGGACTGTTATTGCGTACCTTCAAGTTGTTTCAGGTGTAGGGCGACCTTAAGTATAAAGTTTAGGGCAGGGCCTGGGGAAATGATGTTGGAGGGTCGCATCTGGCCCGTGGGCTTTAGTTTGGGGACCCCTGCTACCATAACTCTTACTAAAAAAGAAATAATCCCTTCTCTGACTAAAGTGGCAATAGGCAAGAGTATAGTCTGCCCTGGAAGAACCTAAAAGAAGTCCCAACTTGCTCTACTCTTCTCTGCTGTGATGAATCTTCTGGCCTTTTAAATTTTCTGGGCAGCAAAATGAATGACCCTTAACATATCCATGGATCCAATCAAAATTCATAATTTTGGTCTCAAAATCTGCCCCCAGCTAATCATCATCATCACAATCTGTCAATTGCAAAAGGCCACCTTACTTGGATCTGAGCGCATCATTCGAAAAAACATCACACAATCACACAAACGATTGCTAACTGTTTAACTTATGATTTTGTGATACAAAATCCAGCATACGTATCTCATTTGCTGTGTCAAATTTTGTTTTTGTGTCAGTAAAATAATAATAATAATAATAACAATAATAATAATAATACTTTATTTGTAGACCACCCTATCTCCCTGAAGGGACTCAGAGCAGTTTCCAAAACACATGGCAAACATTTAATGCCTACAAAGGACATATAAACAAATTACATCAAAACAAAAATACATCAAACAATATACAAACAACCAAACTGTAAACTTAATATCAAATACTTAAACATATTGTAATTTGCAGCTCTCATTTCAGTATGATGTATACTACTGTACTGTGCCCTGGATATCAGGTTTGTGTGTTGCAAACATTTATGTCCTAGATTCTTGTCACTGACAAACCATGAAAGAAAGCTCAGCACAAACACTACAGAGAGCAACTATTAATCAACTTGTACTTCAACCTTCGGCTGAGATTCTTTGCAATTTTCATACAGCTGAACTATCAATCTTCACTTTATGTTCCACACACTGACACTTATAGGTCAGATCCAAAATGTCATGCTCACAAATAAGATGAATAGATGCTCACAAATAATACAAATAGATGCGGTACAAGGAGAGAAATTCTTTAAAACCATTTATGGGAGAGAGATGAGGCACAACTCAAAAAGCAAGAAAACACACTGCCTTTTTTGAAGTGCATCTGGGCAAGATCCTTTGTGTGTTTGGGTGCACTAACTGGGCACCCTTCCACACAGCCATATATCCCAGAATATCAAGGCAGAAAATCCCCCCAAAATCTGCTTTGAACTGGATTATCTGAGTCCACATTCAGATAATGTGGGATTTTCTGCCTTGGTATTCTGGAATATAGGGCTGTGTGGAAGGGCCCTCCGTTCAATCTGCACTAGTCCAGATGCTCAAAGTTGTTCCATTTGCAAGGATATCATTTCCATCTGCACAGAAGGTGTAGACAAAGAGCTCAGATCAATGAGTCAAGTCTACAATTACAAAACTATGATTCCAGTCAGCCTTCTCCAATCTGAAGCTGATTGGACAAGAACTCCCACCAACCCTAGCAAGCTGTCCCGGCCACTACTCCAAACTCCCCGCCTATCCTAACAGACTGCAGTATTCTTACATGAGAGGGTTAATGATATCAGCTCTGCTTCCCTACATGAAAGAAGATGCTGTTACCAGAGGCCTCTTCACATTATAGAGAAATAGTGCTATCATTCCACTTTAACTGCCATGGCTCTATGCTATGGAATGCTGGAATATGTGGTTAGGGAGGGCTTTCAGAATTTGTAGCCAAAGTACACTGCAATGAACCTTGAGGAAAGGTAGGTAACAAAATTATTACTATTGCTTTTGTTAATATTGCCTAGATACAGGCATGTAGCCGGGGGGGGGGGGGCTTGAGGGCTTCAGCCCCCCCCCCCCAAAATTCTCAGGGTGGTTCACGAAAAGGCCTTACTGGTGCATTATTTAAACTGTTATGTTTATTCATATCATGATCTGATCACCATACTCAATATATCCCATATGCATGGGGGTATTGGGGTAATGATGCAAAAGGTTTGCTAGGGTAGACCCTCTTTCACTCAGACTCAGCCCCCCCCCCCAAAAAAACAAAGCCCCCCCCCCCCCCGAAACGAAATCCTGGCTACGGGCCTGCCTAGATATTTTAGTTTTAAAAGTCACCAGGCAACAGGACCCCAGGATTTCACAAGATGCAACCAGGGCTATTAAAGTGTGATTATTTACTGTGAATGGACACTTGGACTGTAGGACTTAGGAAACGCCATTGCTATAGCCTTCCTTTACTTACCATCACAGATATTCCTGATGAAACAAAGAGACCCATTAATTGCAGCAGGCTATTTCACTAACAGCCTATTGGTTTCCCCATACATTAGTTGGATGCAGCTCTCTCTAGGCAAGAAATGGTTCCTTTTGATCTACACAACTATGATGTAGTTAGTAAGAACCATAGGTTTACCAAGTATCTACGGATGCATCTACACTGTAGAATGAATGCAATTTAACCCCACTTTAACTGTCGTGGCTCAATACTATGGAATCCTAGGATTTTTAGTTTGGCAGAGAAGGCTAAAGACTTTCTAAAACCACAAATCCAATGATTCCATAGATTTGAGCCATGGCAGTTAAAGTGGTATCAAGCTGTATTAACTCTACAATGTAGCTCCACCTTTAGTCCCAAATTTGTTGTAGCTCAAAGTCTCTTTTGTGGAAGATAGCAATCACACAGAATTATGTGTGTTTCTCCATTGCTAATCCTTTAATTTAGATAATTTAAATCAAGTGTTTCTCCCATATTTCACAAAGGCTGAGCTCTAGTTGTACAGGGAGAACTATAGAACTTTATTCAGAAGTAAGTCCTATGTTATTCAGCGGGAGAAAGTATGTACAGGACTGTAACTTGAAGAGTTCCTTCTTCCCATCATATTAGAGCAGAACATATTTATATTTATTCTGAACTAATAAAAACTTTACCCATAGTGGAGAATGGCCAGAATTGCATTATACAGGGTTAGTCAAAATGAATAGGCCAATAAGAAAATTAATTTTAGACGA